ATTCTTAAAAAACAACCAAATTTATTTAATTTGACTCGATCATCCGATCGCAGCTATAGGATATGGTCGTCCGATCGGCTAGATTTTTTTAATAAGACCGAAGCCATTTGTTGTTTTTTTTTTTGTGATAGCTTTGCCTACATTATTTTACCATACCTCTTTTTAACTGTGTACCCGGGTACAAACATATTTAAACTTTTACAAAACTGATCATGTGTATAATCAATAGAATATCGGTATGCGGCTTTGATGCAAGCTTTTTAGATGTTTTTGTCAAATCTCTGCCAGTAAATGTAGAAATCATGAGATTTTAAATCTAACTGAAATGTATTATCATCGTTTTTCCTAAAAAACGTTATCATTTCTGTTGTTGCCGCGCCAAACATCGATACCGATGTTTTGAAAACATCGATGACATCGACGTTGTCATCGATGTTTGTCCACCTCCGACTCCACAGTAAATGCGAAGTAAGGTAGAACAAATTTAGGAATCAGGCAAGAATGAAGCTGCTCCCATTGTTCTGGCTGCTGAGCGGCCTGCTCCTGGTGGCCGGCCAGCCTAATCCGGCGGTCAAGGCGTCCTCCGAGGACACCACGGCGACTAAACCAAAGGCAAATGACAAAGTGGGCACTATCACTTCTGGGGCTCCAGCCTCGGGATCGGGAACTCCAGCGGTTGCGGGTCAGGTGAAGCCAAAGGAACCTGTTGTCGCAGTGAAGCCGGAGAAGTCGGACACCAGCAAGGCGGCCCAAGCGGATAATGCAGTCAAGAACAGGAAGCGCCCGGACACTGGCGTGCCCGGCACAGCTCCAGTGGACGCTTCAAAGCCACCAGCGGTGGAGCAAAAGGAGTCGAAGGGAAAGGGAAACGAGACGGTCGCGTCCACGTCCTCATCCTCATCCTCATTCACTTCCACAACAACCACGACCACAGCCAAGCCAGCTGCAGGATCAGCCATAGTCAGCGAAGGTCAGTCCATGAAGGACGTGTCCAAGCCGGGCAACTCATCATCCAGCAGCACCGCCACTTCTTCCAGCAGCTCGACCACGACCACGACAACAGCCAAAACGACCACCAGCACTACGACCACGCCGAAGCCCAAGAAACCTACATCCGTGATGAGCACGGACAAGCACAAGGAGTGGGAGAAGGAGCTGGAGCAGCAGGTGAGCCAGGAGAAGCCCGGGACCCAGGGGGCCACGCCCACCGAAGTCCAGCCGGGGGGAGCCCTTGGTGCAGGAGCTCACCAAGAGCACCGCGAGTCTAGCCGATCGCGGTGACAACGGGTATGTGGTGCCCATCGTGACCGTGCTGCTGACCGTGCCGCTGGCCATCGGCGTGATGACCATCATATACCGCCGCTTCCGCGACATGTGGAGCACCAGACACTATCGCCGCATGGACTTCCTCGTGGACGGCATGTACAACGACTGACGAAGGCCAGGACGGCAACCAGGTGGCAAGTGCTCCTCCGTCGGCGCCCTCGGATGATGATGATGATGATTATTAGTTGTTTAAGTTTGCATCCAATGCAAGGTCTCCGGATCGAAAGCAGAGTGAGAAAAAAAGGAGGAGGAGGAGGAGAAGGAAGAAAGGAGTGGCGGAGGCGACAGGAGGACACAAAAACTAGGATATTGCTCAGTCAATTAGAGGAGAAAGGGATTCGCATTGTAGCGTGGCTAAGGAGACCCTTCCGAGCGGCCAAATTGAATTTAAACCAACTGATTTTCTACGCCAGTTTCGAGCGTGCTTTTACTTTTAAGCATTTTTAATGTATGTGAAGCATTTGTTACCAATCAAATTGATACCGACACTTATATATGCCCTGTACATCGACATAAGATACATATGCACACCAGCTGTTGCATATTGGAGGCTGCGACCAATCGAATCGGACTCACATCGATCAGCGCAATTAGCAATCACTCATTGAATCCACAATCTAGCCGTAATGTGCCTTACAATTCAGCTCTAGATATACATACATACATCAACACCTTTACACTTTGATACTCTCCATCTCCGAAGCTTACGAGATGAAATTCTACTTTACGCAGCACAACACTCACTTAAAAAAAGCAGCAGAAACCAAAAAATCACAAGCAATCGGCCTGAAACAAGCAAATTTGTTGCTTAACTATATATATATATTTATATATATATATATATATATATATATATATATATATATATATATATATATATATATATATATATATATATATATATGTATGTATAAATACACATATTTCATGTTGTTATCAGAAAAACAATTATAATAAAGCGAAAGGCATACAAACTGAATTTCTTGAAAATCGTGTTTATTGATTAACAGAAAGCCTTGTGGAATTCTTATTTTTCTTCAGAAAAGTTATGAAATTCATACAAGCAGCACGACTTGCTGTACGAAAATCGCTGATTCCTCATAAACTTCGACTTATGTAAACTCGTGTTCTTTTGCAAGCTAATCTCATTTTGTCGGTTTCATGAGAAATTTCTTTGAAATAATATTCCAGCTTCAAACATTGTCGGATTAACGATTCATTCAGTTATTAACATTACAATTTCATAAGAAATATATAGAAATATGGTGTATTTATTTTTGTAAAATGATATGTTTTGTATACCTTGCAGAAGGGGACATTTCCGACCCTATAAAGTATATATATCCTTGATCACTAGTCGATCTAGTCATGTCCGTCTGTCCGTTTCTACGCAAACTAGTCTCTCAGTTTTAAAGCTGTCTGCATGAAACTTTCCCAAAAGTTGTATATCTATTGCAGGTAGTAAATAAGTAGGAACGAGCCGGATCGGAAGACTATAGCATATAGCTCCCATGGGAACAATCGGAAAAATAAATAATAAAAATGATAACTTTGTTTTTTAGTTTTTTCTCAGTTCTTCGACATAGTAATTGTTAAATATTTCAGAATTACTTCATCATATAAAAAAAAAATTTTAAATGAAACTTAGCTATTTTTTATTTTTTAAAATTCTTTTTGACTTAATAATTTAAGAGTTTAGAATTACGCTTTTAATTTTATTAAAATCAGAAAACGATACCATATAGCTGGAACTATCGAATAATTGAGATGCAAATCATCATAGCTTTAATGTTTTTAAAAATATACGCAAGTAAATCATTATTTTAATGTTTTCAAGAATATTAAGTTTTTGCATTAGCTGCAAGGGTATATGAACTTTGCTTTCTTTCTTGTTTTATTCATCGTACTGCGACTGCACCTTGTATTATTTTCCATTTATTATATTCTATTAAACAAAGAATTACTTACTTCGGTACATGGGTAACACAAAACGCACTTGCAAAATTATAAACAAAACAAAGTATTAGGGCCAAAAAAGAAACCAACATTTATGGGAATGATATAAATATTTGTTCAACCGGTAACAGCCCGAGAAATACTCCCACTTCACTTTAAACTAATTTTTTGTCGGTTGGAAAAGGAATTTATTCTACCATTAAAATGTTTTCTTTAAAGGAAATTAAAAATAACTAAGGTAACCAGACCTTAAAACAGGCCCTTCCCATATATTATATTTTAGGAAAAATACCCTAAAAATTAGAATATATCATAGCCATGGCTGTATTTATAATATTTATATATTGTATGAAGTTAGTAAGAAATTCAAAACCCTTTTTTTATTAAACGGTAAAATGTTACTGAAATTATTGACAAATAAATGAAAATACTTTTTTTTTAGTATGATCGTCAATGTATTTTTGCCAGATTTAATTTGACATTGTATTTTAATTCAACTTTGTATGGTTTTAAAACTTTCCAATTATTAATTTTTGGTCAAAGATATTTTAAAAACATTTTCAAAAATATTGTAGGGCTCTGATTTATTGTGCGCTGCCTTCTGTTTTTAAATCGGTTGTAGCAAATCTTCTGGTTAACCCATTAATGTCATCATTTATGCTTTATGTGCGGGTGGACGCAATCCATTCCACATCCACATCCACTCCCCAGAGCCCGATGCCCGAGGTGATTTGGTTTGAGAGGCCCAATTGTTGTTCCACCGGAGTTCTGACCTTTGGCGATAATAGATCACCAGCGCCTGCTCCTCGCGCCTTCATTTAGACAAATGAGCGGCGAGGAATCTCCATACAAACACCCCATTCAAGAACAAAAAATAAATAAACCAACAAGAGCTGCTGAATGCGCGCAATGAAGTGGTTTATAAATGATCTCCATCTGCGAAGTTGTTCGTAGTTCGTTTCAATAATTTAAACAAAAAGAACTAAATTAACAACAAAACGATGCATGTTGAATGCCTGTGTGCGTTAGACACTGTGTATAAAGGGAAAGTCGGAAAAGCGGGAAAATCGTTGGACCACGAGAATGTGTGAAATGAGCCGAACGACTGCCGCTGCTTTCACCTCTGCCTAGGATACAATAAATAATACCCAATACCCATGCCAGGGTATATTGTATTTAGGCAAAGGTAAATACTTAGTTTTTAACTTGCCTGGGTTTAATTTTGACTAACTTTCATAGAAAAAGTCCTAAAATTTGTCTACCGCTTGGTTGTAGTTTCGAATAATTGTAGAACAATTTTAAAAACATTTTGGAAGCAAGAAATAGAGCTTCAAAATGTTCAAATGCTGATAAGTTAAATGTTTACCATATATAAAATGTTACAAAATATAATTTACTTTAGTTTTGCTTATTAATGTTTGTGTCAATTATAGTTTTAATATTTTTTTCTATTAAAAAATGATTCAAAAAAGTTTTGAGGTTCGAACATTTAATAACAAAAATATACATTTGTTTTACGGAATTTAGTTTTTGTTGAGCAATTTTAGTTTTGGTTTGTATGTAACTAAATTTGCTTATTTTTTTTTTAGTTAAAAATGTAACATTTTAAACTTTTCAAAAAAGTGTTGGTTTTGTTGTTACTTTGGAATAGACTATTTTGTTTTATACGGAGTTTTGTTAAATTTCAAATAAAAACAAAAAATAAAACTAAATAAAAGTTATTCAAAAATCTTTTGGTTATGTTGTTACTTGAGAATAAAAGTATCCTTAATTTATGAATCTGCTTGTATTATTATATATAATTAATAAAAATATATATAATTATTACTATTATTATGTATAATTAAATAGTATTTAGAAGTCGAAACAACAAGTAATAGAACAGCTTGACTTTTCCTGTCTTTGCCTCTGCGTTTGGCGTGCTTGATTCTTGGCGTGCTCATTTGAAAACGTGCGCTGGACGCGTGCAGTTCTCGATCGATCAGTTTCCGTTGGACCAGCCGTGGATTTGAACTCGATCCGACCCGATCCCGATCCAATCGGAGCCACGTCTCGCCGCGTAACCCTACCTTCTCACTTAAAATGCATCCTGCCTCGCCACATCAGCACCGCGCGCGCCTGAACATCGGTTCGCCGGGATCGGCTGGTGTCCAAGCCTCATCCTCCACGGAGACCTTTCCGCTAACGCCGCAGCACCACTCCTCCCAGCATACGGTCCATATACCGCCCTCCACATCCCTGCCGTATCAGGGACTCAAAACCTGTAAGCAATCGAAAGGGACTCCGTTTATTAACCACATTTTGATTAGCTTACACGATATTATTACCTTTAAAAGGGAATTTTATTAAATAAGAACTAAATTAAAGAACTAAGGATTTCTTCTAAATGCCAAAATGATTAAATGTCAAATATGTCAACTTTTTTTTTAAATTATCAGTTAATCCAAAACTTGGTATTAAAGCAAGAGAAAATGTTTCTAAATATTATCAGATCAAATAAAGTGAAATAACATAACTTTTTTTGTGCCGCATAATAATAATTTGAAAAATAAAACAAAAGCGAAGAAGAATTTAAAGGATTCCTTACAAAGAAAAAGGGTTAAGACTATGTCAATCAACTAAATAAAAGTAAATGGGAGTAAGAGAGAAATCCTGGTAAAGAATAAATGTTAAATGTGCACTTGATAATTTAAAAAATGTGTTCAAAGGAAATAATAAAAACAAATTTATATGATATTTTAAATAGCAAAGTAATAATATCCTATAATAATAATAAAGTAATTAAAATTTGAAAGTCCGGATAGTTTAATTAGTTTCTAATTTAATAGCAATAACAAAAATTATATTATTATTTGCATCTAGTATTGATTTCAATTATTCGAGACATTCATAGACTTATTAAAAAATTAAAAATAAGATATGTGGCAAGACTTCCTTGATTTCTGGACCGGATTTCCAGTCAGATATAGTCAAAATATTCGCTTGGCGCTTTGTTTAGCTCATAAAAACACACGCACATTGACTGCCAGATACAAATAGTTTTTCACATTATACCGCACACATGACCTCACAAAACTCTAGTGCCCCAGCGCCAGAATAATTCATAATTCAGGCAAATGTGCGATTAATGCGATATAGACTCATAATCAAGGCGCGAGGTGAGGCGATTCCGAATCATTTTTCAATGAATCATTTCATTGAGCTGCAAATTGCTTCAGCATTGGGATCGCATCGGATCGGATCGGATCCGATCGGATCGAAATCGAGATCGAGATCGGGGCATCAGGCATAGGCCATGGGGCCTATTGAATCGTATCGATCGCGACCACCTATGAAGTATGCAATATAAACTGTGCGCCGACATGTAAAAATAAATAGCGATTATGGAACGCACCTAGGTCCAGGCACATGTATCCGTGATATAAATCGTATTGTCGAAACTCGTAAGATAAACAGAGCAGCGGAATACTCAACACCCGTCTCGAAAATAAATAGTTTCAGCAGCTATTGCTGCAGAGAGCCAAACAAAAAGGGAAAAACCGAAAAAACCAGAGATCATATTCACGAGCACCGGGTCTGTACCCATAAACAAAAAATCCCCAGCCCATGTACAATGTGCATACATAGTTAGTCAAGCATAAAAAGAGCTCGGACCAACAAATCCAAGGCAGCTGATCGTGGATATTTACGGAATTTATGGCATTTGTACTAGATCAAAAGCAATTTGTACAAGTTAATTGACCCAAAACAGAACCGTACAATATGCTGGCGCAATTGAAACATCGAAACCACTTTTCGAAATCCCGGGGGAATAAACAAACAAATCACAATCTAAAAAGGATAATAAAAATAGTAATTAAAAATTATATTTTTAGGTCAGTCAATTCTGTACTTTCACTTTTAAGAAACTCTAACACATAGAAAAAACCTCTTTGAATTTAATCAGAACAATGTAAACAGAAGTAGCAAAAGGAAAACCAAAATGTAATATTATATAAAACCAAAATATCGGTTGATTTTTATACGTATATGCTTAAAATCAATTAAGTTAATTGTCAGATCGTTTTAATGGAAGCTTTATTAAATAGTCGTTTGATTTTCAAAAAATTAAAAATAAAAATAAATTTTGTAAATCTGAAGAACAAATATATCTCGCGTTATATGTTATAAAACAAACAAAATTGGGTTGATTTTTGCATTTTTAAAACGATTGTTCCAATGAAAGCTACATGTTGCAGTCGTTTAGTTTTTATGAAATGAAAAATATTTTTTTTTTTAAGGAATTTTGAAATGCTGACTAAAATTTAAATACCCTTTATCAATTTATGTTTTTGGCGTCAGTGACCGAAGTCATACAATTACATAAAGTTTTACGCGAATTCTTCAGTTTTAAATGGTTAAAATAGTCTAATGCACAAAACATTACATTGAACCATTTTCCTCATAACGTTTCTGTTTTCTCCAGCTGAGAACGATGACATGGGCTGCGTGGAGATCCTGGCCACGGTGGTGTCCGTGCTGATCATGGTGCTGACCTTCCCCATCTCGGTGTTCATCTGCTTCAAGGTGGTCTCCGAGTACGAGCGGGCGGTGATCTTCCGGATGGGGCGGTTGCGCAGCGGCGGAGCCCGCGGTCCGGGCGTCTTCTTCGTGCTGCCCTGCGTGGACGACTACTATCCGGTGGACCTGCGAACCGTCTCCTTTGATGTGCCGCCGCAGGAGGTGCTGTCCAAGGACTCGGTGACGGTCACCGTGGACGCGGTGGTCTACTATCGCATCAGCGATCCGCTGAAGGCGGTCATCCAGGTGTACAACTACAGCCACTCGACCAGCCTGCTGGCGGCCACCACGCTGCGCAACGTCCTGGGCACCAGGAATCTTTCCGAGCTCCTGACCGAGCGCGAAACCATCTCGCACACCATGCAAATGTCCCTGGACGAGGCCACCGACCCCTGGGGTGTTAAGGTGGAGCGCGTGGAGATGTGAGTTGTCATTCCCAGAGATAGTAGTCCAATAATCCATCATCCATCATCCATCATCCATGATCCAATTGCAGCAAGGACGTCTCCTTGCCCACTGCCCTTCAGCGGGCGATGGCCGCCGAGGCGGAGGCGGCGAGGGAGGCTCGGGCCAAGGTCATTGCCGCCGAGGGAGAGATGAAGTCCTCGAGAGCCCTGCGCGAAGCCTCCGAGATCATCTCGGCCAGTCCATCTGCCCTGCAGGTGAGTGTGTTTCGATCTGAACAGGGATATTTTAAACTATTCAAGGTTTACCCCCAGTTTTTTTTTACGAAACTATTAAACTTTTTAAAGCAAAAACATTTAAGTAATATTCGTATTAATAGCAAGCCGATGTATATATACCCTTGCAGCTATAGCAATTTCAATTCTTTTGCGTTTATGTCTAAAAACAGTAAAGCTAGGATGAGTTTAATTTTTAATGGCATCGTTGCCCGATTTTAATAAAAATAAACTTAATTTAATTTATAATTATTAAAGTAAAATCCAAAAAAAAAGTTAATTATTTTTAATTAATTAATTAATTTTAATTTTTAATTTATTTTTTATTAATTTTTTTTTTTTAATTTTCCGATTGTCTGTCGGATAGACAGACATGGCTAGATCGACTCTCCTAAAGATGCAGATCAAGAATACATATACTTTTTAGAGTCGAAAATGTCTCCTTCACTGCGTTGCAAACTTCTGACTGAAATTATAAAACCCTCTGCAAGGTTATAAAATAATTTAATAATTATGTTTAAAAAGAATGTCCTTTCTCTAATTTCGTTTTGAGGTGAACAAAATTGTAGCAAACTAAATCATCTCTAACAACAAATTTTAAAAGATTAAAATCGATAACACTATATAACTTTTTTTTTTATTGGATGACAATCAAGTTTTTTTTTGGTTTTTTTAATTCAAAAAATATATCGTTAAGATAATTCACATTAAGAAACTACATTTTCTTGTACTTATAAAGTCTGCCAAATTTCAGAGAGATCGGTTCAGTAGATTTAAAGATTCCCGAATTCAAAATACCATTTCGTGAAAAAACGCATTTTTAAAGATTTGTTTACTTTCAATGCTCATATCATTGTTAATTTTGTTCCCATCGAATTAAAACGTATTACTAGATAGATTTCCTTATGAAATATGCAAAAAGAAATTGTGAAACATCAAAATCATAATTTGGAAGTAACCCTTTAACCCTTAACCCCTTCCACACACAGTTGCGCTACCTGCAAACCCTGAGCAGCATTTCCACCGAGAAGAACTCGACCATCATCTTTCCGCTGCCCATGGAGTTGCTCACGCCCTTCCTCAACACCCATGCCTACTCACAGCAGCAGCAACACCAACAGCAGCAACAGCAGCAGCAGCAACATTTGCAGCATCAGCAGCAACACCAGCAACATTCGGCCGCCCCTGCCACGCCCCTTCACCGGCACCAGCACCAACACCAGCACCACCAGTGACGCTCGATGTCGGTGCTGCAGCCGTACCTGGAGGCACTGCATCGCTGCGAGCTGCGGCGGCAGCAGGAGCAGCGGCGATCAGCGGATGACGATGACGACATCGTGGGCTTCTTGCTGTAGCGGGTCGGCGGATTGGTGGACCGGCGGATTGGCGGATTGGCGGCAGCAGCGGCAGACAGCGGAACTGGCCGGGAAATTCCCGGAAAATGAGTCAGCATGGTGGTGGGAATTTATCAAGCTGGGGTGCTACACAAATCTCTAGAGATTTTCACATCACACAGGGTTAATTTGTATTATTAACTTATATTTTCTTGGAATCTAACTTGGTAGATTTTTTGTATATCACCTCTTTTATGTTAAAGGGGCTTACAAATTTCGATTTTATTGTTTAATCTTTAAAATTATTTTAGGTATAAACGAAAAAAGAATTGTTTTTTTTTATAAATACAAAAATACAGTTAAAGGCTTTAGACAGTTAAAAAATCATATTGTATCAACATATATATTTAATTGGCATTTAAATTCACAAACACTTTATGAACCCCTATTTCGCAAACCTTATTTTTCATTTTATTTCCTTATGCCTAAACAAACAAGAATTGTTATTGTTCTTCAATATATGCGGCAATATTACTTCAAATACTTAATTCACTTTAATAATCTCCAAGCGAAGACTAAGTCCAAACTAGTTTTATTAAACACTTTAGGATCTAAAGTCAACCCAGTAATCGTTTTGAGTGCAATTTATATATGCTGATAATATACAATTGATCTACCAGCTTATTCCAAGATTTAATCGCCAAAGTAAGCCATTATATAATTTTTTGTTTTGTTGTCGTTTATTGTTGTAAAACTATGATTCATCTTAGAATTAAGACGAGACGTTAATTTTAACATAACCAATATTAAACACAATTTCTGTTGTACGTTTAGATTAAACTTGTTTGGGGGATGAAACCTTTAGACTAAATTACATTTCCTCGAAAACAACGAAAAATATAGTCTTTTTTAAACAAATGGATTTCGAGTGTTCGATTGTTATTAATAAATATATTATAACAAACAAGAAAGGAAGCAAACTTCGGCAAGCCGAAGTTCATATACCCTTGCAACTATTGCAAAAATTAAATATTCTTGAAAACATTAAAGTTATGAAGCTATTGAAGCTATGATGATGTTCAGCTCTATTATTCCTTAGTTTCTATTTTAATAAAATTAAAAGCGTAATTCTGAACTGTCAAATTATTAATAAGTCAAAGAGAATTTAAAAAAAAATACAAAATAGAAAAAATACATTTTTTATTTAATATTTAATATTTTTATTGTTCTCATGGGAGCTTTATGTTATAGTCGTTCGATTTTCATGAAATTTTAACCGTAATTCTGAACTAAACATAAAAATTAAAAAACAGCTAACTTATAATTTTGTTTTCATTTATTTTTCCGATTGTTCCTATGGGAGCTATATGCTATAGTCGTCCGATTCGGCTTTTTATTTTATTTATTTTGCGTAGAAACGGACGAACAGACAGACGGACATCCTAGTGATGCTGATTAAGTATATATATTATATACTTTATAGGGTCGGAAATGTCTTCTTCACTGCATTGCAAACTTCTGACTGAAATTATATTGCGCTCTGCAAGGGTATAATTAAATGTGATTCAGATACGCAACTCTGTGATTCCCCTTATTCGAAACATGCCCATAAACATTTAAATATTTTGAGCTAATCTTAATGACACAAACGCTCCGATTTGCATACCACTTCAACAAATGTGGCAGATAAAGCCGATCTCGTCTGAGTCACTTTGTTCAATCGGTTGGACGAGCCTAAACTTTTGACCCCTGAGTAAATCGGCGTCTTTATACTCAGGCCGAGATTACAAATATTCTTGGCACTGATAAGAAAAGCTTTCGTTGATCGATGGCCGGAATAATCTATGTACATTGACGACTGCAGTCTAATTGGGTTTTCTTTCTGAGCAGAGTGATTCATCCGCTGCCCAAGTCTCTCGATTTACAAGGCCAGTTCTGGTGGGGGGTTACTGGTGTTTCCCCAGATATTTTTACACTGAATAAATTAGTGATTGATTAAATGACTGTAATAATATTTATTGGCACTATTACTCGATTATTCATTAAAAAATTTAATCAATCTGTTATCCATATGTTTCGATTGCGAAAATATGTTTTTAATTATTTTTGATTGTTAGGATAGTAACAGATAATAGAGGTTGGCTTCTGTTGGTTTCTAGGAACAATTGGTGTTTATTAAGTGTTCACCCAGATATATTTACACTAAATAAAGTGTATGATTAAGGAGCTAAGTTAGTGTAACCAATGAAAAAATTGAACGATTTTTGTGATGTTTATTTTAAGTACTCAATATAATGTTTTAAAGTTTTTTGGTCATAATAACTTTATTTAAAGATTATTTTTACAAAAATATATTGAGAAATACCGAAGCTTTGTAGTGTCTTCGGAGGTGTATTTTCCGAAATTAGTATTTAAAACAAACAAATTCAAAATGGTTACTAAAGTATTTCCTATAAAATGACCTCCAATTTTTGTAAAATATTAAAAACTAACATAATGGAGTAGTTTCGAAAAAAAAAGGTTTTTGTGGGGCTAAAAAATTGTCTACCTTTTAAAGCCAATTTGACAATATCTAAAAACCGCAGATGATTGTATAGTAAATAAATTGAAGAGTGCTTAATATCAATTTGAAGCCAATTTCTCGGTCAGTTTATCGGTCAATTTATTTTTTATTTATGATGTCAGCTATTTCGAAAATTGTGGTTTCGAAAAAAACACGTTTAAAGTTTTAGGTGAACCTGTTTAAACCAGCGAGCGGTTGCTCTTTAGAACTCGGCCATTAAAAAACTATTTAAGATACGACCTTACCGCTATTATAGGATATTTTTGAAAGCGAAAAATATTAAGCAAACCAAAAACAGTTTAGAATTTTGTTAAAATTGTATTTTTTAATTAAAATCATAATATTGAGTAATTGTAAGAAAATGTTGTCTTTACCACAACTTGATTATTCAATACTTTTAAAATACGAAATCAGAATTTGAAGACTTCTCTCCGATAACGAAAATATATTTTAAATTACAATGAATATTCACCTTAACGTAGCATATTTTTTTTTTTAGTAAATGGGATATAAGCTGGTTGAGAATGGCCTTAGTTTTGGCACTTTTGTTTTGATTTATTTCTTGATTTATTCGCGATTTTTTTCTCAATGTGCCCTCGCATTTGAGCCGCTTGAAGCTCCGTGAAGCGATAAAACCAATGCGATACTTCGAATGTGAGAGAGCTACGCGCTCTTATCACATGGGAATGGTTTTCGGAATTCAGTTTGGCCTTTGCAGTTGCTCCCGCGACAGTTTCGAGTGCCCGGCCGACCGAAGAGGAACACACCCAGGAACACACCCAGGAATACACCCAGGAATACACCCAGCGATGGAGCCACAGCAGCAGGACACGCCCGTGTATGCCAACTACGAGGACATGCGCAACTCCGGTCCGACTAGTTCCACGGCCTACATGATCAACATGGGTCCCGGCGGAGTTCCGCCCCAGGAGCAGCCAGCTCGGGGTCCCGGTGCCACTCAGCAGTACCGTGGCTTCAAGACTTGTAAGCAATCTATTATGCATAGAACCCCAACGATTTGAAAGCCGCCAGCAGTAGCTATACTGATTAGATCTAGTCTTTAAAATATGCAATCTAAAGATCTTATGACTATTTTCAATGTCGTTTTTAATTGCTTTCATTCCCCACTAGAGTTGATCTACATATGTACATTTTGGTGCTGTGAAAATTTAATCAGCTAAAAGCAAACGACACGAGAAACTCAATTCTAGCGAAATTCTTGGAAACGCTGCTTTAGATTAGATTAAAAAGAGGCGTGAAATTGACCGCGTGAGAACCTTCATTGAACAATATTTCCGACATGCAAAATTGTAAATCAATAACGCTGAACATCCTTATCGGACGATTTTGTAAATGCCCCAAAAACGACCGATATAAACATTTTCGCTCATTATTGATAGGAGATCTAAAAATAAAAATATAATTCGCTTTGTGAGTGACGTTAGAAATACCTTTTCGTATCGTAGTAGATATTTGTTCAGAGTTTTGTTTTTGTTTTAACAGAGTAGCAATTTAGTTCCTATCACCATCCCACTTAATCCTCATTAATGCGTAACACTTTCTAGTTTGTAGCTTTTATTGAGGCACATGAGGTATCAGTTGCAATATTATTTGAATTGAATTTTTAATCGACAAAATTCATATTGATTTCTACGATAAGGATAAGGAAATGATTATGGCTGATTGGAATTTATCCCTGTGTTTCAGTTTCCTTTAGGTTTTATTTTTTGCTTTTATCTTTATACATTCTTTTTTTTACTGCCTTCAATTATTTTGTTATTGCCCAAATGAAATTATAAATGAATATATTGATAGAGCTATGACATATATGTAATCTTGTTTTCCGAATTTGATTTCTTTTAAATATGTAGATAGATTTTATTATTTTCAGAAAGTGAAATCTAAACATGAAACTCTTGTACTTTCTATTAAAGCGAAGACATTAGAAGCATAATTACATTCACTATAAATTCCCCCAATGTTATTGACAGTATTTCTCAATGAATGAAAGATTGGTAAGCTCAAGTAGGCATGACTTCCCGGAATTTCAAATTATCTCATCTTCTCCAGACTTGAAGAGTCATAGCTCAAAAGCTTCAAGTTGGCAAACAAAGGGAACTGCTATTATCTAAGTGAACCCCCATTCAGCATTTTATTAGTAATATAAAATAACAATATCGCACAAATCTTTGTACATGCTATTCAATTTAGAGGCACATCAGTCACAATTTTAACAATAAACTAATACCTAAACTTAGCACACACACATTAAAAAATAAAACAAAACATTAAAAAAACCAAACTAAAAATATTAGAATTGATAACATTTTTAAAAGTATTAATTTGACTTCTTAAATGTTTTGTTTTATGATTTTTTTTTCTAAGCGAACGTTCCAAAATAAGTTTAAAGTGATTCGTAATAAGAAACCACTATCTTGATTAACTGACGCACTGATGTAAAAGTGTGTACATGAAGCGTTGCGTAAATAAAAATATAAAATCACAATCGCCCAAGTGTCCAAGAACTGATTTGAATGCGTATGTATATTCAATAACTAATGCATCAAGCTCTTATAACATTTACTTGCAGCCGAGAACGAGCCCAGGGGCGTCATGGAGTGGGTGGTGACCTTCTTCTCCGTGATCATCTTCATCATCACCTCGCCCATCGCCATCTTCATTTGCTTCAAGGTGGTGGCCGAGTACGAGCGGGCCATCATCTTCCGGCTGGGCAGACTGAGTGGCGGGGCTCGGGGTCCGGGCATGTTCTTCATCCTGCCCTGCATCGATGAGTACCGCAAGGTGGACCTGCGCACGGTCACCTTCAATGTGCCGCAGCAGGAGATGCTGACCAAGGACTCGGTGACGGTCACCGTGGACGCGGTGGTCTACTACCGCATCAGTGATCCCCTCTACGCGGTGGTCCAGGTGGAGGACTACAGCATGTCCACCCGCCTGCTGGCGGCCACCACGCTGCGTAACATCGTCGGCACCCGCAATCTCTCCGAGCTGCTCACCGAGCGCGAGATCCTCGCCCACACCATGCAGTCCACCCTGGATGATGCCACCGAGCCCTGGGGCGTCATGGTGGAACGTGTGGAGATGTAAGTGAAATTAATATTAGGGAACCGTAGTTTCTTTAAGCCCAAGACGCTTGATCTGATCGTATAACAAAGGGGATAAATACACTTATAACAACATGATATTCGCTTTCAAAACTAAAATCAAATTTTTTTTCTTAATGTTCTCTTTCTAAAAAAAAATAATTGTTTAGGTCACGGTTTTTATGTCTCTCTTGCTTACTTTAATTTAAAATTGGATTGAAACCTTTCTTAAGACTTTCTAATTTCACGCTCTAAATAGCCTGCAGATAAATAACAATAAAGCCTTTAAAGAATTCCCTGTAACTAATTTGAAAAACAAAAGAAAAAGGTGTTCATCCAGTCCGGGGATTGAACCCGGGACCCTGTTTCTTACTTTTTTTGTTTTTTCTTATAAAAATGTTAATTTTAGCTATAAATACAAGAACATTTGTTTTTTTTTTGAAAACATTCTGAGTTCTGTTAAGAAAGATTCCTCTTAAAACCCAATAAATATTTTGTTCATGCTTCAAAACATGGTTCCTGGCAAAGGCGTTAATTCTAAAATTTCGAAATTAATGTTTACGAGTGTATCCATGAAAAACTTATAACTTCCGATCTGTAACCGCTTTCAGCAAGGACGTCTCGCTGCCCGTGTCCATGCAGCGGGCGATGGCCGCCGAAGCGGAGGCTGCCCGCGATGCCCGCGCCAAGGTGATTGCCGCCGAGGGTGAGAAGAAGTCCGCCACTGCACTCAAGGAGGCCTCCGACGTCATCTCCTCCAGCCCCTCAGCCCTGCAGGTGGGTGTGGTCCTTGCACATCGCCCTTCAGAACATAGTATTTATATCTTAATCCTCGCCCACAGCTGCGCTACTTGCAAACCCTGAGCAGCATCTCGGCGGAGAAGAACTCCACGATCATCTTCCCCCTGCCCATGGAGCTGCTGACTCCGTACCTGGCCAAATATGCCCACATGATGCCACAGCCCCCTCAGCAGCCGTCACAATTGCCGGAGAAGGCCGACACCGTGCTGCTGGATGCGCAGGCCGCCTGGCCAAAAACCAACCTATGATATATTCCACAACGTATTGCGCAGATACCGTAGTTATTGAGTATTTCTGCTTTTTTTTTTATTGAAAAACACCACTGAGGAACACGGTATTTGAACTCATGTTTATATTTAATTTTTAATAAAATATAAACAACATTCCAAAGTTGTTAAAAAAAAAAAAATTGAAATCAGTTTGAAAAAAAAAATGTTCTCTTGATTAAATACATATGGATATCAACGTGTTATACCTCTGCACCTAAGCTGATTCTGATTCTGTACAATAATCTGACGTTCATAACTAGACTAGGTTTCATAATTTTTCTTTAATTTTAAGCCTAATTTTGACTTAAAATTACAATACCAAATTTATGAGAAGCACTACTACAAACTTTATACTCTTTTGTATGTTTCTGGTTTAACATTCTTTAATTCTGCTTTGAAATTTTTAATTTAAATTTATGTGGCCTTTGGTTTTAAAAGGTCTGCAAGACTTACAAATTAAAGACAAATAAAAAAGGCGTTTAAAATAAAATTTAACCCAGATTTGCAAAGTATTAAATCACTATTTTTGGAAATGAAAAACTTAAAAATATAGTATGATTTGGTCAAGGGCTGAAGCAAAACTTAAAGCTTTAAGGGGCCCAAATAGCAAATATAATAAAAAAATATTGGTAAATTTAAGTTAGATCATGAATTAATCATTTTAGAAATATGACGAGAGACACTTACAATTTCCTTTGGTGTTTACAACAAATAAACGTTGACGGGATCTAGGGCCAAAGATTGAGTGGCCATTTGGGCCATGGTCTTCTGGAAGGTTGAATCGCCTGCGACGATGAGCAGGCGCTGTCCGGGAATGGAGGGATTGAGGTAAGTGGCCAGCCCGGAGGCATCCAAGCGGGCCACCTTCGCGGTCTCCTTGTAGCGGAGACTCCGGCGAAGGTGGAGGCACTCGGGGACGCAGTGCCCCGCCTCCTGGCAAGCGGCGGAGGCGCACTGCTGATGCGGCAGGTAGAGACAGCTCCGGTAGTTCCAGTACTGGGCGAACTCCAGCAGCTCCTCGCGGAAGTAGACGTGCTGCAGGTCGCGGGCGCACACCAGGTGCCACACACGACTCATGTCCTCCTCGTTCTCGAGCACCTGGCGCACCAGCGGCAGAGTGGGTGCAATGGCCACGCCCTGGGCCACGATGTAGATGCACTTGGCGGTGCTGGCATCGTGTGCGTACTGCCCAATGGGTCCGCGGAACTCCAGCAGATCGTTGGGCTGGACTGCGGCCAGGAGCCGGGACATGGGCCCGTCCGCCTGCAGCTTCACCAGAATCCGGAACTCTTTGGCCTGGAAGTCGCTCCAGTAGGGCGAATAGGGACGCAGCAGGGAACCGATGCGCAGCATCACATGGTGTCCGGGTGGAATGTCCAGCACCGTGTCGTCCTCCGCCTCCGCCCCTGGCTCCTCGGGGGCGTGGCCAAAGTGCAGGAGCAGCACCTGACCACCGGTTTTCGATTCTGCTTCAGATTCAAGGGTTTCCCGCCGCAACAAACGGAATTTGGTGTAGCTCAGGATCACGTTGCGTTTGCCGGCCAGCAGAACGCGCTTACTCGGCCGGGGCTTGTTGTCCAGGATGCAATTGGTGCAGCCATTGCCACAACAGTCGGAGTCCTGCAGCAGCTCCTCTTCCACATTTAAATCCTGTTTTTGGAGCTCCCCGTTGGCCACCATGCCGCCAGTGTTGGAAAGTGTCTCGAAGAGCCAAAATCTAGCTATTTTTAGCTGGAAATCTAGCTAGTTCCTTATTTCTTTCAAAACAATCGACTGTCGACAAGCTATCGACTATCGTTATCGAGTTTCCGGACAACAACAAGACAACTCGAAAAATATGCCAGCAAAAGTGTGTAAATAAAACAAAGGCACGAAACGGAACGGAAAGAAAGAAAGATCGGCACCAGGCGCAGAGAACGAACTCGCTGCCCCCCCTACCCACCACACCACAGACCCTCCCCCCCCCGTTCCCGCGTCAATCGGATTCCCCCGAGGAGAGCGGACGCAGTGCGGCGGAGCGCATGAGCAACTAGTGTCCAGGTACCAGGTGTCCAGTGTCCAGTTCGCCATCTCTGTATCTCTATGGTGCCGCCAGCAACATGAACCTGGAATCGCTGTTCCGCGACTTCAATCCCTGGTGAGAAGCCCTTGGCAGCGGACGTCCGGATTGCGGAGGAGTTGCAATCCCCAATCCCTAACCACCGCCATGTTCTCTTGCAGCAAATTCATCGTGCACTGCAGCCTGTTCACCTTTGTCACGCTCTTTGCCTTGCGCCTCGACAACTACATAGGTGGGTACTGGTGCCTCAACCCAGGAATAACAGACTCCATTTGTACAGTGGCCCATGGATTAATCTATAAAGTGATCTATCTGAGAGCAGTTCTTATGCTGCCCACGCTGCTGGGTTCCCTATTGCTAGACAGATATCCTAAGGGATACAAATAGAGCTAGAAAGGGTTTGAGCTAAATTCTCCAGTTATACAATGGCTTATGGATCTATATATGAACTAGGATCAACTTAAGAGCAGTTTCTGCATTACTAGAGTTTCTTTTAAAAAGACACCTTTACACTTAGAAATGGATTGAGCTGAGCACTCCAGCTTGCTAGACTAATCATTGCATTATATAGGATAAAATAGAACTTCTTTTGTCACCCACTTACCACTAAATACCTTACGGATATATAACAGTGCCACAGGGATAGAATAGTTGTTAGTGAATTGCCTTAATACCCCTCGTAGAGGTTATATATTATATAGAAATCATGTCATATAAGGAGAACCAAACTGTTGTGAGCCATTCTAATCAAGTGCCTTTCCACAGATTGGCCCTACTGGGCGATTTTCACACCGCTGTGGATATGGAAGTGCACCGCCATCCTGGGCGCCATTGTGGGTGCCATCGTGTGGTGTCGATATCCACACTATCGCCTCGAGGGCGATGCCTACACGCAGTTCAAGGCGATGCTCATCTCGCTGGCCCTGCACCTGATCCTGCTGATGTTCGAGCTGCTGGCCTGCGATAAGCTGACCTCGGATCGCCACCTCTGGGTGCTGGTCTTCATCCCGCTGATCTTCGGATCGGTGGTGAGCGTGGGCGCCTGTGTCTGGGCCGTCAAGCACGATCGTTCATTCGAATTGGAGCTCTTCCTGGCCGTCAATGCGCTTCAGTTCGTCTCGCTGCCACTGAAACTGGACCGCTTTGTCTACTGGAACTGGGACGTGGTGTTCGTGCCCATGTGGATCGTTATATGTCTGAGTTTGGTCAGCGTTCTGTACAACATCATCTTCTGCGGCATCATGATGCGGACGCCGGAGGTGTCGCTGCAGCAGAAGAAGGCGGCGCTAAACGCGGCGGTGGGCAACATCTGCACGGTGCTCCCATTGCTCTGCTTTCAGGTGAGTCCCCCCCCCACAAACCGACTGAAGAGAGACCTGCAATGCAAACCCATTCCATTCCATTCCGCCAGGTGGTCATCTGCGATAAGCTGGACGGCGAGCTGAAGTTCCCGTACATCGTGGTCTTCTCACCGCTGCTCGTCTCCATCCTGGCCCTGATCATCCTCAGCTTCACGGCCAAGGGCGGCAACATGTGGTGGTTCGGCATTCGCAAGTCCTTCAGCCAGTTCCTGCTGTCGGCGATGCCGTTCCTACAGGAGTACGGCAACATCAGCTACCATGCCGAGACGCACAGCAATGGCGGGCAATCCGTGCCGCTGGACGCCACCTCCTCATCGACGAGCATGGCGGCCAGCGAGCAGCTGCACGAGTTCGGGAAGCACGACAAGAAGGGCAAAAAGGGGGCCAAGAACGACATCCTCAAGCCGGTGGTGCCGTTCGTCAGCATCGACCTGCCGGACTAGATATAGACAGCCAGCACTGCACAGGAGCAACAATGAGTAGCAAGAACCACGTAGACCTAAGGACAGCCTCTCAGCCGACACGCATACGCACACGCACACGGAGACGCCGACGACGCACACCTTCGTTCAGGTGTTTATATTAAGCATTACATACCCGATACCCACAAACAACCATACACACATCGGCCGTAGCTTTTAGACTCGTACTGAATTTTAATTGTAAGCAAATGCTAACACCGCCCACGACCCATGCCTCCCCCAGCCACACCCATTGCCCCCCAAAGGCCGCCCACCACCCCCTCGCATTCGCCTGCATATAATAGTTGTACATATATACCGGCACTGACTACTACACACAATTCACCAGGTTGTTGTTGCCCACCCAAACAAAGCAGACTCAAAGCGGCTTTCACCTTGACCACTGGTTTCCTTATACAAATCGAACAGAACGAAAAAAAAATCAAAAGAACAGCATACAACACTTGGACTTTTTTGGCCTTATATATGTGCAAATATTATATGTTACATCCCTCACACTCTGAGAACCCACTTATGAGTAATGCCCTACGATAAAGTGTAAATAATTTACAAACTACAAAAAAAAAACACAAGAAATATACTTAAGTGCTTCCAAAACAAAATGAAAAAGCGATTTAAATTTGTTGTTAGGTGATAGATTGGAAGTAAATGACAAAAGTACATAGATAATGTTAGATTTGTGTTGAGTGCAGCAACTTCAATACAAAGAAAAACATTCAAAATCTGTGGTTTTGTGTTTCTTATAAGTAATAAACTTCAAGATATTTCAATCCCTTTATTCTCAGATCTAGTTTTGAACGAAATTCATTTGAGTTGTATTAATCTTTATTCAAATTAGGAAGCTACAAAGTTTACATATTTCATAGTTAATATATTTGGTTTTTTATTTTGTAATTAATTCTCTTACGTTGTGTCGCCTAAAAAGTTATGCAAAGGTAAAAAGTTGCATTTTAAAAAGTGACCATCCCAGAGCTGCTGCTTTCTGCCGTAAAAAACAAATAGAAAATAGCCAGTGAGCGATTTATAAATATAAAGCGCATATACATATATGTATACCACATATATCCATACTCCTCGGATGCAACTGGAAGTACGTGTACATATCCTTAGGGGGCGAGAAAGAGAGGCACATAATTGAATATCGGAACGGAGCGGGACAGAGCTAATATGTTAGATAGAGCTATAGATAGAGTGCGATGCGGAGCGTGTGTGAGCATCAACAATAATGCATTTGAATATATGTATACTTGCTCGATCGCAACGGGTGCAACTGGCAACTCAACTATTGCATAACAAATCGCAGGAGGGGCATATATCGCTGAAGTAAGTATCCGTATCCGTATCCGTACATATATAATTCATTGCGTGTGAGAATTAACAATTGTTTCATTAATTTAGCTACGTCGTTCGGGGGAAATTCAAGTACAAAGTTTTCTCCTCCTGGCTACTCAAGGATATTTCTCAAAACGTCGATCTGTCGCAAGTACAACGCATAATATAGTCATAATAGTAATAATAATAATGGTAGTAATAGTTGTACCTATGGAATAAAAGCTTCCGCTTGACTCTGGTGTGTGTATAGTACAAAGTTAAATAAGTAATATCAATTTGAACTCTTTTCGATTTAAGCTAAATACTCTTGTGGGGGAATAATACCTACGCCTCTTCGGTTACTGCAAAATATATATTGATCGTAATCTGGTTTGTAATTCGGTTAGCTAAGTTCGTTTTCACCCGGATCGCTCAACAAATACTTCGGGTTTCGCATTTCTTATCTCTTATCTCTTGTCTCTCATTTTTCAAATTTCATTTTGCTATTAAAGTTGGCTAAGAACAATTGTTTATTCGCTACATTGTTAAATCTCTGACGTCGTGAGCATCAGAAGCCATCCATCCCATCGGGATCTCTTGATCTTACGAACAGTGATGGGAAAGGTACTGTTTTTGTTTTTGGCTAGGCATTATTTGAATATATATATATATATATAGGACTACTTGTTGAACTCAAGGTAACGAGATGCAAACCTATTTGTTTGATTTCGAATTTACGATTTAGTGAAATTTCTCAGACTTTAATCCCTTGAGGGAGCTCTTTGGTTCCGAATTTTCAAAAATCATCCCTTCTCATCGGTCACTTTTGCCATTAATTTAAATTCGGGAAATACAAATTCAATCACTAATGTTATATGAATGTATTATAATGCCATATGTTAATTTCGCTGAAGCTTTATCTTGCGATGCATCTGGAAATCTGGGATGCAAACAACCTAGATTCTTCCCATCACTGCCCCAAAATCTGTAGGATTGGTTGTTCGTTGCCCGTAATGTCGCAGCTTAATGTCTATTGTCTGAATTGTGTTACAATGCGTTCAATTTATTTGGGAAGAGCCAATAGGGCCAATCCCAAGGAGGCTATTTCCCGTTGCTCGTTTTCATGTTGTATAAACGATATGTACTAAGTGGTAAGTAATACGATTTCTATTTACTTTACTGCCTAACAAATGAAACGCTCTTTGGATTCGATTCGAAATTGACATGAGATCTGGCGAGCTGCGATCCACTAGGCATATGTATGTATATGTTGGTTGGTTTTTTTCAGTGCACTTAATCCTTAGGTAACTTATTTCATGTATTCAGAATGTGTACATAGAACGGTATGCCCTCTAATCTGGCCAATTTCTTTACATACTTTTATATTTAAATATATTTATATTAATTGTGGAACTATGGAACATTTTGCTTTCGCTTTCGTTTCGGTTTTCATTTCCTTATTTCTGGGTATGGTTTTAGCGACTGCAGCTTTTGTTTTCTTTTTCTTTTCTTTTCTTTTCTTTTCTTTTCTTTTTTTTTGAGTGTGTAAAGAGAATCGAAGAAATTAGAACAGAAGGCTATGTGTGTTGTTGATCGGTATGGAAGCGCTTAGTTTTAAAGTTGAAGAAGTTCGTTAGTTGTACGTTTCGTATGGGAATTACATGGTGAAATGGAGAAGTGGCATGCAGCTGGGGAATCCAGTCCAATCTAGTCCACTTTCGGCCTGGTGCTCAAGTACTGGGCGAGATTCTCGCGGGGTCCCTGCACGATCATCAAGAACTGCGAGGGGAAGTCCCAGATTATGGTGAAGTGGAACAGCATGTTGGCGATTGCGATCAAGTACTCGAAGAAGGCAAACCAACTGAAGGCTGTGAAAGGAGTGTTACAAAATCCAAGATTAATTTAAAATACAAAAAAATATTTTATTTTTAAAAGTTCAAAGTCTATATTTTTAAATGGAACTAAAGGATAATCCCTTTTAGGACTGATTTCTTAATGGCGTGATAAGTTTCAAGTTAAATGGTTGCCTGGCTAACTAACTAAAAATCCAAGTTTATTTAGGAACTTATAAATATATTTATCTTTTGAAAACTCAAAGTTAAAATTTGTAAATAAAACCAAACCCTTTTAGGACCAATTTCTTTTTGGTTAAAAGCTCAAAGTTGAAATTTTACAAATGGAACTAAAGAATTATCCCTTTTTAGATCGATTTCCCAATGACATATTAAGTTCTGTTTAAATTTAATGGTTGGTTAACTAACTAAAAATCCAAATATAAAAATATTTAATATTATAAAAGCTAATGGAACTAAGTAAGGTGCATTCCGCTTTGGACCAATTTCTCAATGTAATATTAAATTTTAAGTTTGCGTTAACTGGTTGTCTCTTTTTACTTTGTAAGTCGGCAAATCATAATATGCACAAAAACGATGGCCTTATTTTATTTTTCAGCCTTAGTTTTAACTATTTCTGACCGTTCTGGTTCGTAAACCTTAACTAGACATTGAGAAATTAAGCCTTAATGGGTAAATGCTGAACTTTGTTGTGCCCAAATATTAAAAATTGTAATAATTTAAATGCCAGTGACTGACTCACCCAAGTCGTGACAGTAGAATCGGTGTTTGGCGAAGAACACCAGCAGTCCGACGGTGCTCACGATGGAGATGGCGAAGAGGATCTTCTTCCACTTGATGGACTGGCGCTGGTGTTCGCTCAGCGTTTGTCCGTCGTTGAGGATGCCGTTCAGCTTGATTGTGGCCAGCATGTAGCACAGCGAACATATCATAAACGTGATGAAGATGCGCTCGTGAACGGCTGCAAATGAGGGGGATTTAGTAAGGATCTCCAGGAGGGAGTGCAATCGACCCACGGTAGTTCTCTCGATTCGAAATGTAGGTGACGCCGCCCAGGGACGCGATCTCGATGCAGTTGAGCACCAGGATCAGCGTGATGAGCAGGCTGGTCCGCGGCACCTGGGCGGGACTAATCCGACGCAGCTGCGAACGGTAGTAGTTCTTGTAGACGAAGGCGATGGGTATGCGCGGTCCGATGTGCAGCGCAATGCTGAAGCGCCAGAAGTAGCGCTGCGGACTGACGCCGGTAATTGCACTTATCGAGGGTATTATGTTGTAGACCTAAAAACACATAAAAGTGGGTTAGTTGTGTGGTAAGAAAAAAGTTATTTTTTCGAGTAAGATGTTGTGTCTATCTATAGAACATTGGTGGGTGTCACGTCTCTTGGTCTGAAATACATTTCAAAAATCTGTCGTTATCACTGAATATGTAGATTTTCAATTGGTTTGGATAAAATTTGCTCAAAACTTCTGATTTTGATTTACGTTTGAAAGACATTTATGTTTATTCAAAAGATTTTAAAAAAATATATCAAAAATAAAAATAATTAAACCTTTCAATCAGGTTCAAAGTTTAAATACAATTTTAAGGCCTGTTGGTCTGAAATCTATTTCAAAAATCTTTCGATATCATAGAATATTTAAAGTTTTTGACATGCTTTACAGTACATTTTATTAAGACTTTAGTATTAAGTGAAATTATAGTTTTATTTTGTTTAAATAGGCTTTATGGGACACCGCTGCATATAACTATAAGTTTTTTATTCAGTTGACTTAGAAAAAAAAAGTTTGAATAAAATGTACAACTATTGTCGATTAGTAGTTGAACTTTTAAACTAAATTAAAATTGATTTTAAATTTACATCGTTACTTTACGAAAATCTATACCAATAGTTACAATTTCAGAGTAGATTTAAAAGAAATAAATTCGGAAATTAGCTTCTTGTCTTTTAATTTTTGTAATTTGTAATTTTTAATTCCGTAGTGCCAAGTGTGTTTATATCATTAATCAGAGTAAATGGCACTGTGCTGTTTTGTGACCGAATCGTTTAAAAAAGTAGATTTGCGTGTCTCCTATCTCGCAGAGAATACCGCTGGGATGGCAGTGATTTGTTACCCACGGGCTTAACTGGGATTGCAGCAGTTAGCCTTGGACGCGGGCTCGCCTTAAAGTGGCAAACCGAAACCGAAACCCAAACCGAAACCGAAAACCAACCCCCCAGGGGCCCATTAACTCACGCGGCAATGTGTCTCGTGTACATCGTCGTACTGGAAGACGTAGGCGGTCACGAAGCACGTGAAGAGCGTCACCAGCGGCAGCAGGGCGGTGACCACGCAGAGCTCGTGGAAGCTGGCCAGGTAGTGGATGGCCACCTGCTCCTGCGGCTCCTTGGGATCCTCCTGCTTGGAGCTAATCGTTGTGCTGATCTGCAAGTGATTTAGATCGTTAGGATTAAGGACATCAATGGGCCGGGGGTAAAAGGTAAGTCCGCTGTATACACTTTTAAGAAATTAAAAATAAACAAATTTATTTTAAAAAAGTAAGTCGAAATAGTAAAATCCATTTGAAATTTAGGCAACATAATTTGTAAAAAACATTATTATTATTATAGGGGTAAGTTACTGGATTGAGAAATCAAAAACAAGATCCTTCAAGCCCAAAGATTTGAAATTTGTTTGAAAACTTTTTTTTGTTTATATTTTTATTTTTTTTATGATCCACATTTATAAAAATACTTTGTACAATATACTTAGGCAATTTTCTGAAAATATTTGATTTCAGATTAATCTTTCTCCAAATATGATGAACACCGCAAAAAAAGTTGATCCTGGAATTCTCATCTTACTTTTTAAATGTTTTGTATTTTTTTAATGAACAAATTTGGCAAGACATGTGCTGTTGCTATTTAAATTTTAAATATTCTCAATGGTGTGAAAAAAAAACTTTTTACGCGGTGCAACAATGTATAGCCCCATAGGATAGGCTTAGTTCAATCCTTTCCTGGAAATGATATTCTAATAAATGGGTGATTTTCACGTTTCGGTTTGCTGGGAAACTAAAAGCTACAGTGGTCTTTCCCCTTGAATGAAAGGATGCGAAAATGATCGGTAGCCCTTACCTGGCAAAAGTGTTTAGTTCGGTGTTCGATTTGGTTAATGCACAACAACGAAAAAGCGCTAAAAATAAAGATAAAGAAAAAACAAACAAGAAGAGGTGTGAATAAATCAATAAACAAAAGACAAACAATGAGGCGAAGCAAGTTAAAGCGGAAACTATGCGCGAATACGCCATTTGAACGAGTGGCTGAATAATGGATGAGGTCCCGCATGGCGTCCCAAATTGGATGAGCCGGAGTTATAAATAAACAAGCCCTTGCGCTAGGATACGGCGGGATATGGACATCTAGGGGGTGGCAAGGTCGCCACTTGCCAGTTGCCAGTCGTCAGTCACTAGCCGCTCTCTCTCTGGATATTGTGAAAGACTCTCTCTTCGCCGCTCCGAAGCAGCAAAGGATTAAGGGCCAAAAATAGATGAGCTATGAGCTGCGCCTGACGTAACCAACCATCGCAAGCAGCTGGCCAAAATTAATTAGGACAAAATTAATGGGGAAATTGGCCGGGCGTCAGGAATGAAATTGAATATGCGTTGCCATGAAATCAGGACACCGGAAGCAGGCGAAGTTGCTAAGAAACTTGGACATCGCAGAAGGAAAGGAGGAGGAGGAGGAGGAGGAGGAGGAGGAGGAGGAGGAGGAGGAGGAGGAGGAGGAGGAGGCAATGGCAATGCCACAAGGACGTGGCGAAAGCGAATAAATGATTAAAACAAGAACCAAACAAACAAGCGACGCAAAGTAAATACACGCATTTCGAAAATTAGGCAAGCCAGAGAGCAAAAAAAATATGGTTGTGTTGGCCATGTGAAACGTTAACAAAAGGTGCACAGAAAACATTTTCTGAAATTAATTAATTAAAAAAAAAACAGCAGAACTTTTTCAAAAGTGTCCGGTTTTATATTTTCTTCAAGAATTTTTCAATCAATTTTATCTTAATTTGTATTACCTTGGCAAACCATTTTCTAAGATTTATTAATTAAAAAATAAATGGCCAGACTTATCTAGCAGTGTCTGGTTTTACATTTATATCAGTATTTGTATACATTTATTTTAACTTGGTTGCATTGAATTTTTAAAGGATAAACACTTTTCTTTAATTTTGAGCTATAGATATAATTCTATCTTATTATATAGCGATCAAATTTATGGAACTTCTAGTTTGATAAATGTTGTTTAAAATTAAAACATAAAACCCCTGTTTTTATTTTAAGCAGTTCTGCATTAACATTCATTTAAACAGGCATAAATATATCCTTAAATATAAAGTCAAAATTTATAGAGCTTCAAGTTTAATTCATGTTTTTCTATTTTTCTAATATAGTGCAATACATACATATATCCTGCGACAAAAACTTATTGAATTTGAATCGAATGCCTTGACCTTTTTGCAATTTTGTTTTTGGACCAATTCGAAAAATATTTTCGGTGTGGAAAACGGAGGTCGCCGAGGGAAGGGGGTGCGATGAGCAGGGGGTGGCATGCGCGGTGGCTGCGGAAAATTACAACAAACGAGCCGGGGAGCATGGAAAATAAAACGGGCACACACATTTCCACACAAACCCCTCGCAACGACGATTGTGCAGGGGAGGGGGAGTGAGAGGGGGAGGGGTTGACGCTACGAGGGGGGTGGTAAAGGTGCCTGAGATGGGCGATGGGTGGGGAGGTCACAAAGCGTGCGCTGCCTTCTCGGCTTAAAGTTATATAATTTTTGGCCAGGCCAAACAAACCATAAATACACACACACACACGCACACACACACACGAACGCACGAAGAACACACGCGCACACACACACACTGGGTCAAATACACAGAAACAAAAAATGAAGCTCGAATGGTAATGGCTCGAGGGGGAAAAACGGAAAACAGCTCACCGCTGCTGGGTCGCCGGATCCGCCGGATCCGCCGGAGCAGTTGTTCCTCCTGGACAGCAGGTCCGGGCGCGGGGGGGCGTCGCCCCCTCTCCGCTATCTACTGCCGCCGATGACGTCGCCGCTCCTGTTCCCTGCTGCTGCATTTGCATTTTCTGTTCGCTTATCGTCGGCGTTGGCGTTGCTGCTACTGCTCGTGCTCGCGTCGATGATGCTAATTGGCATAATTTGCATGCCCCAACGCTGCCGTCGCCGAGTTGTGACCGCGCGCGCGCCTCTCTCGCAACTGCTGCGTTTTTCGCCACGGCGGCGGTCTCCTTTTCCGCTTCTCTGCTTTCCTGCTCGACCTGGCCCCACTTGCCGTCACATGGGTAGGGTCACACTGGCCGTATACCGTTAGCTTTCCTGCCTGGTCTGGCAAGCCATTGGCAGGGTCACACTCGCCGTATACCGTTATAGCTTATGTATAGCGCGCATTTATTTGAAATTCAATAGCACATGAAGTGCATGAGAAATTGAGATTAAAATTAGAAATGAATGGAACTTAGAAGACTTTCGTATATTTGTTTTCATATATTTATATTTTTTGTTATAGTTTGATCTGAAAAAATAAATTATATTACATTATGTACCTTAAGTTTAGCAAAGTTCCTTATATACAAAGACTATGAAAAAAATCTTTACAAAAATAACATCAATTTAATGAACTAAAGTTTTACAATAAAAAAATTTCGATTTTACAAATACTGAATTGAATCCCGAAAATGATTTCATTTATCATTTACTTAGCTTATGGTGCATTTACTAAGGGATTGTCGCAATATTTTGTGTTTAACAGTAGAAAATGTCCGCAAATTTAACAGATTTTCTTCGTTTCTTTAGTTATAAGTATTAGTAAGACAAAGTTATGCAGAAAAAAAAAACAAAAACAATTCAAGCAAAAGTTCCATATGGATGTTCGCCAAAAGAATTGGTATACTCAATTAGTTATTTTGTGTGAGATTACATGTGGATATTTTTAGCTTTGCTCAATCTAAAATTTACGTTTAGTCCACTAAAATGTACAAAGGTTTCCAAAAGCACAAATAGATCTGTAATTAATATATCCCTCTAGCATTGCTTTTACGTTTTAGCGCTTTATTGACAAACTAGTTTTTCAGTTACATTAGATGTCTATATCCTCTCGCTCCATCTGATCTTTAAAGGTGTTACATTTAATAGTAGATGCATGATGCTGCTGCTTTCGTGTAATCAAACGAACCATAAGGGTTCGCAAGTGTCTTTTTATACGAAGTGTAAAATGTATGTGTGCTTCTGCCCAATCGAACTCGACGCAATCGAATCAATGGGATAGACTGGATTGGCTCAAGTTCGATTAAAGGCGTATTAAAGGGGTCGCAAGTGTCCTTTAATACGTTGTGTACAATGAGATGGGAACAAGTATATGCGCGTGTATGTTGGCTTCTGCCCAATCGAACTCGACGCAATCGAAGGAGTGAGATAGACTCGATGTGCTCGAGTTCGATCAAAGGCGAAGCACTTGCTTGGAAAGTTTATGTTAGGTTTCTAATTAATAAATTAAGAATCGATCCTCGTCTCGTTGCCAAACTAGAATTACTGTCTGTGTGGGATTACACACGAGTAATTCATAATGGAGAGCGAACCGTCTACATCCACAACTCCCCGCCGGCGATCTCCAGAGCCATCTTTTTACGGAAGTACTCCATCTGTTCCTGCGAAAAGGAGAGGGAGACGTCGCGAGTAATGTATTCGGCAAACATGCAGCTGAAGACGCCGCAGTCGCTTCCATTTGCTTGTTGGGGCACATTCGGGACACTTTCGATTGTAAAGCCACTGGTGTCGAATGGCTGCTTGCGCTTGTCCAACGACTCCGCACGCAGATATTCCTCCAAAGCGTCCAGCACGGTTTGGTTCGGCTTTCCCATTGAATCATAGTAGCGAATCGTTTTGTTGCGCATGTGAATGATGGCCATGCACCAGTGGACACCGTTGCAGTGAACGGGCACCGGGATTATGTCCTTGGCGAACAGGTCCACCTTTCTGGTCCAGCGCTTCACGCCCGAATGGCCAGCCTGCAGTAGGCGTGGCACAAAGAATGTGTTCATGGCATAAACACTTGGCAGTTGGCCAGCACGCTTCTCCGAGCGATCGGTCAGCAAACCCATGTAGAAGTTGATGACCTCGTCGTTAAGCCAGGTGCCTCCGATTAGTGTGCGTAGGTCGTTGCGAGTGATGTTCAGATTGAACTTGGTAACTAGGACCTTACATTATGTATGGGCAAAGAAAAGACAGTTCAGTAATTTGATCGGAATCGAAAGGAGTAAATGCAGTAATTTGCCTACCTGCTGTGGTGGGCCCTGCATCAAATCGTTGTAGCGGTTCAAATGCGCCTCGGTCAACGGAATGAGCTGTGCCTCCTTCTTCTCAGTCTTCTTGTCCAGGCCACCGATGACGAAGATGGGCTTGTGAATGACACGGTACTGGAAAATGTTTTCGCGCAGCTTACGTTCGTATTCACGGCGCTCGTCAGTGCTGCGCATTGCACTGAAATTTGTGTGAAACATGTTAGTGACGAGACATGGTCGATCGATCGCATGGCGAGGAAATCTTACTCCTGGGTAGCCAATTCACGGAGATGTTCGCTTTCCTCAAGCCGACGTGCAATCCTGGTTCTAAACTGGTCCGCAAAGTCATCCTTGAGGTAGATGCTGCTGGCAAAACGATGATGCAAGCCTTTGCTGTATGATTTCTGAGCACCACTGTTCGGTTGTTAATAGATCAAATAAAGTATTTATTACAAGATTGTCTACACAATAATAAACTAACTACAATAATTCACTTACGAGTTTTTGGATACGATCGATTTTTTGCCATCCGAGTTGTCATCAGCAGTGACGGTCACAGAGGACTCGGACTCGAGTACGGATCCGGCAACGGATTTGGATCCGGACGAGCTAGTTGAAGAGCTGGACGAGCAGCTATAGGAGTCATCACTGCTGGAAATGGCGCAGGCTTGGCTGTTGTTAAAGCTTTCGAGGGACACAAGCTTCGGTAATGCCGGTAGGCGGCTCTGCTGCGCTGCTTCGCCGCTGATCAACTTGGCGTAATCGGACAGCTCGCGGTTCTTCTCTCTGTCCTCGCGCCCCGTCAACATCATTGGCTGCTGCTGCTGCTGCGATGGACAAGGTTTGTTGCCGCGCAGTATTGAACTCCACGATGGCGGCTGGGACTGTGAGCGCTGTAGCGGCGGGGCACTCGGTTTGACGAAGCTACTGGCCCCGGAATTATTGCGGGCCACGGTGTTGATGAGGTTGAGGTACTGCTCATGCTCCGAGCGCTCCAGCTCGTGGGTCAGGATGCTCCTCTCCGCCTGAGGCGGTGCCCTGTGTCCCATGTGGCTGAAGTGGCCATTCACACGGGCCGTCTCGCCGCCAAAACCATTCTGACCCAGGCGCACGGCATCCGAGAAGGACAGTTGCGGCGTGACACGCGTCAATCCTGATGCACTGACCGAAGAGTGCGGCTCCTCGTCGTCCGAGAGATCGAACGGGTTGGGCATGTAGGGCGCATTGTTGCGCACCCGGTGCTGCGTGTACACAGGTGGATTGAAGATGGACAGGCGTTTCGAGCCCTGTTGCTGATGCTCGCGTTCGCGCTCGCCCTCGCGCTCTGCCATGGACTTGTTTGGGTTTGGGTTTGGGTCCTCGGCAGGCTCATTCGGTATGTAGCGGGGAAACGAATTGTCCACGCGCCGGTACTTGATCAGTTGAGGATCGTCCTCCTGGATGCTGCAATTACAATTAACAATTAACAATCATGACTTAAATATGCCTATATTTTTTCCATTATTATTTGGTATAAAATATTTACTTATTTCTCAAGATTGTTTGGCATAATCCCATCAAATTTAGATGAACAAATAACAATTTAAATTTCAAAAAGAGCTTACCGTCTCTTCCGGGGTGTATTTATAGTTTCCTGCTGGTGGTCGTCTCCACGACCTGTTCCGCTTCGGCCCTCAGTTCCCGAGCCCGAATCGCCGGTGTCCGATTGTCTCTCTTTGGGCTTGTACAAGCCGTTTATAAGCTGACGGAGTCTCTTCAACAGATCCAAGCCCATCGAAATGCCTTGCTGGGTGGTGTCGTTGGGTTGCCCGATGGTCTTCGCCTGCGCTTCCCTGAAGCCTCGTTCCTGTTGCTCCGTTAGCTCGATGCCCAGAAAGACCTCCCTGAGCAGGCTGACGGTCTGGGTGGTGGCCTGGCCGGTGATAGCTGTGTCTACCAGCTTGTGGCACACATCGGCCAGCTTCTGGCGCAGTAAGCTGACGGTGCAGCGGTACCTCTCGGCGTGCGGATGCTCTGGATTGACGGTCAAGGTATCGCAGATATCGCGGATCAGCTCGAGAATGTTGCGCACGGCTTTGGCAAGAGGATGAGGCTCGGTTGGCTCGCTTGGCTCGGTTGGATCGGTTGGCTCGGTTGGATCGGTTGGCTCTACCAGCAGTCCGGGTCTCTCATTTCGTGCATCAAATGCATCACCCGACGACGGTGTGGCCCAGGCCAGGAATAACTCTTCTCGATTGGTTTCTCTTTCAGTGCTGTTGTACTGTTCAGCTGGCTCTATGTGGTGGTTGGCATATGCCCCCTCCTCCGACTGGTAATCGATGTATGTGTGGTCCTCTGGTCCAAACTGCTGGCTGTGGACTTCACCTGCAAACTGCTCGTTGTACTGGACGACCTCACCGTCCTGGTGCCCGTCCCCAGTTCCGTTGGATTTGATCAACAAATCGAGCTGATAGGACGCCACATCCGATACGGGCTGGTAGAAATGGTGCTCAGTTTGCTGCTCGATAGCCTCGCTGCTGGTGCTGCTGTCAAGCTGATGGTGATTTGCTGCAAGGGCAGGAGTTAGAAGATGAGGCGGAACTGTCACAACCGGCAGGTTGTTCAGTGTGCCAGGATAGTAGGGTGGCTCAGAGGGAGCGTAGTGTGCCGATGGGTAGAACTCATTTGTGCCCGAAATCGAGGAAGTTTCTTCCGGCGAATATTGCAGCGATTCCAAGGAGTTACCCTCTCCTCCTGCTGATGGCGATACCGATGAGAATCGCTGGCTCTCGGACGAATCAATGTGTACTATGTGTGTCACGAATTGTTGTTGTGGTTGTTGTTGTTGTGGTGGTTGTTGTTGGTATTGGTATTCAGCAGGCGAGAAGCGCCAGTGAAGCGGATTTGCCGGTGAATTGGCCACAACTACTGTCGAATCTGGGGACGCACCGGCTCCGGCCTTGGATGTGCCAATGTGTGTGAGTGTGGTCACAACGGCGTCCTCGGGAGACTGCGACATGCGTGTGTTAGCGTACCGCTTCCGCAGCTCTTAGCTGGAATTACAAACCGTGCAAACGGAAACAATGGGCAAATGGAGTCGGGAATGTAGTTGCAGCTTGTCAAAACCAAATAAAAAAAAAAAAAACGAAAATGGAAATGGAAAAGCCGGTAGAATGCAGCCTCGATTTTGCGCATTCGCTTTCCCGCTTTTGTGGCCGCCGCCGGCGCTGCTGGTCCGCTTCACCCCCCTTGCCACTCTACAGCACCCGGTATTTAATCACTTACCGCTTGGCCAGCCGGTGAACTTGCTCGATTTTACAATGCACTTGGTTTTTATGTCGACGGGACGAGAAAATATTCTAAAATGAAAGAGTTTTCATTTTTTTTGGCGTGCTGGTGCTAGAGTGACCGTTCAATCGATATCTTCGAAATGTCAGGCATTTGAAGCTATCGATAGGCGGCTATTGATTGCCGTGCGTGAGTTTTGTAGCTAGCAGCCTACGTCAGTCAGCAAATTCAATGAGATTATACTTAAATTTGAATAATAATTGGGGTATTCCCTAACGGAATAGTGTTATCGTGTTTTCAGTTTATTTTAAGTAAGTTTATATATTTAAAAACAATGTTACGTTTAAAAATGTTAACGTTTAATTTTACTGTGGATTTTTCTGGGGTGTAAGTGCAATATAAAGAAGACTTTTGCGAAAGTTTAATTCAGGTAGCTTTAAAACAGTGGGTCTAGTTTGCATAGAAACGGACAGACGGCCGGACGCATCGACTCGCCTGGTGATGCTGATCAAGAATATATATATATACCCTACGGTACCTATGTGACCCAATGGTCAGAAATGTTTACTTCACTGTGTTGTACACTTTTGACTTAAAATTTTAATTCCCTCTGCAAGGGTATAAAATTGTGTGTAGTACTCATCTAAGGAAAAAAAACAAATTTTATTTTAAGTCTAAATTCGTTGTTATACCCTTGCAGAGGGTATTATAATTTCAGTCAGAAGTTTGCAACGCAGTGAAGGAGACATCTCCGACCCTATAAAGTATATATATTCTTGATCAGCATCACTAGAAGAGTCGATCTAGCCATGTCCGTCTGTCCGTCCGTTTCTACGCAAACTAGTCTCTCAGTTTTAATGCTATCTGCATGAAACTTTCCCAAAAGTTGTCTTTCTATTGCAGGTAGTATATAAGTCGGAACGAACCGGATCGGACGACTATATTATATAGTTCCCATAGGAACAATCGAAAAAATAAACAAAAAAAATTATAACTTTGCTGTTTTTTTAATTTTTCTATTAGTTCTTGGAGATATATTAATGGTTAAATATTTCAGAATTACGTTTTAATTTTCATCAAAATCGGACGACTATAGCATATAACTCCCATAGGAACAATCGTAGAGCTGCCATAGGAATTATCGAATAATTAAGCTGCAAATCATCATAGCTTCAATGTTTTTTAACATACACGCAAGTAAATTATAATTTAAACGTTTTAAAGAGTGTTTAGTTTTTGAAATAGCTGCAAGGGTATATAAACTTCGGCTTGCCGAAGTTTGCTTCCTTTCTTGTTTAAGATATATTTAGGATTTAGGCACTTAATATTCAGAATGGTGAATATTTTTGCTTCTGCTTCTGCTCCTGGAAAAGCAGAAGTCGCAGCAACAAAAAGCAGCAACAGTCGCTGTTTTTCTGTTTTCGTTGCTTGCTGCTTTGCTGTTGCTTTTATGAGTTGGATGTTGGATGACTTTGCTTTTTGTCGTTTTTGTTTTCTTCTAACAGCGTAAGTCAAAAAAGTAGCAAGCAGCAAGTGACAAGCGATTGTGAATCGTTTTCTTATTAAGATTTTAATTGAAAATAACCCAGATGATGGTCTAGCAATATGCAATATTTGCTTGCTACCTTTTTGACTTACGCTGCTAGAACAAAAGAAAAGCGACAAAAAGCAAAATCATTATAGGCTCATAAACGTCAGCAACAGCAAAGCAGCAAGCAATTAAACGAAAAACAGCAAGTTTTGCTTTCTGCTTTTTGTCGCAGAAGGAAAATCATATAAAATGCAACTTACTGTTGTTTTTGAACTTATAAAAATATAAAATTCACTTATAAAATTCACTTAAACTCTTCCTTCTCTCTTGTGGCTCGAAAATATAATTATGTGACGGAACTTGTCAAATAAACCAGACAGACTGAAAATATTTCTATGACATGATGTGGCATAAAAAAAGCAGGCCTACCAAGATGATGCTTTTTTCTAATCCCAAAAAATATATGGCTACTTGGTTTAAAGTTTATAGGTATGTTTATTTATTAATATCACTGCACAAATACAACAACAACCACACCACCGACAACGTCAACAACAGCAACACACACACACACACAGACTAGGGATCCCCGCGAATTCTTCAGATCCAGCATATCCAGCAGATCCTGCAGATCCCGCTGATCGTCTCAGTCCCTGCCTTGGCAGCAGAAGAAGAGGAAGTTCCAGAGCAGCGAGGTCGCCCCATAGAGTGCTCCAGCTAATCCGACGGTGGCCTGGAACGAGTACCGCTCCACCACCCAGTGGGCGAGGGCGCCCCACAGGAGCACCAGCAGGCCGTTGGTGAAGTGCACCGGTCGCCGGATGGCCGTCCAGTTGGCCCGCGTCATGCCCATCTGGAAGACCAGCTCCTGCAGGAAGGCGGTCACCACCTGGCCGAATCCCAGCAGCACCGCGGACACACTGAGCAGCAGCTTGGACGTCGAGAAGCTGATGACTGTGGGTAAAACGGGATATTTTTGGATTTTGAAGTTAAGCTCTTCAAATGTTTACTTTTTATTATTCCTAAAATGGTCATTCACTTTTCATGTGCTAATTTATTTACAGGTCTTAAAAATACATGCAAGAAGTCATATTTATTAAAATAAATTAATTGATTAGTATTGGAAACAATATGACTAAAAAATTGACATTGCGAAGGGTGCCCTAAAATAGCGTTAAAGAACAAATGTGTAAACACAAGTCAAAAAAGTCCTAAAAAAATGTCCATTGCTATGAAATAATTTACTACAAAAGTTTGTGGTTTTTAAGGCAGTGTACGTTATAAATGTAATATATTATATAGAACTTAAATTTAGTGAATAAAAATAAAAAAAAATAAAAAATAAATAAATAAAAAAAAATGGAAATATATAAAAAATTGTAACAAATTCTCGTTAAAAAAATTTAAAACCTCAATAAAACAGGCACCCTTTTAGTGGCCATGATAACTACACCCAGAGAAAAAACATGGCAAATCCAAATATATGAAATAAATATTTTCGGTACTGATTTAGCCCGGAGTTGTGTTTTGTTTAAATCAAATTGTGTTACACTTTAATTTTTATTTTTAAGTATGGAAAAATTGCATTACCATGCTTTTATTTTATTTTAAATAAGTTAATATTTTGAAAAACAATGTTACATTCAAACATATTATGGTTTAGTTTTACAATGCCATTTTTCTCTGGGTGTACTGACAGATTTTTTCAAAAGTAATCAAGTTTTTTTTTTTTAAATCCATTAAACTCAATATTAATTGATGGACCCAAGGAAAAAAAATATTTTTATTTTTTGAAGAACTTTTAAATAAGCAAAACAAAGTTTGGCCCAAAAATTTGCATTGATTTTTAGTTTTTTAAAATGTTTAAAAACTCAATAACTCAAAATTCGTCGACCCATCTGTTTACATTGTCAACTTGTGCCAATACATTTGAAGTAATTATGTGGAAATGTTTTGAAAGAAGTATTTTCAAGAAAAATGTCATTAGAGGCGACACGAGTCTGGCCTAATGGCATAAAAGAAGGCATTATAAAACAGCCTAGTTTACCGAAATGTATTCAAAATAGCGTATTTAACAAATTATTTTTAGTTATTTGGAATAAAAGGTCATAGGACTTACAGATCAGGGCCAGGCACTTGCAGAGGCTGCCCAGCGTGTGCCACTGGATCTTGCGCTTGTAGAGGCTCGTCCCGAAGCGCGGCGTCATCAGGGAGAAGCACATCCAGGGGAAGGCCAGCAGGGAGAAAAGGAACGGGATCTCGGCGTTCTTCAGCGCATGGTGGCTGACGGCCAGTCCGGGGAGCACCGTCAGGCACATCACGTAGCTGAAGATGTCCGCCGAGAGGAGCAGCGTGGTGGCATACAGCTGCGGCACCAGCAGCGCCTGCTGCAGCGGCATGGCGATCTTGTCCAGCAGATTCCACCACAGATGCGAGGTGACCGCCCGCGACATCCGTCGGATGCGTCGCTGCAAGATCGATAGAATTAGGAGAAAGGGCCTTAGACTGGGCAATCGAAGGGGTAATCGTACACTGACAAAAATATGGAATAGTAATAAATATATCCCACTGTTGAATCCAAAATGAAATCATAATATCAAATAAAATGCATATAAACGTAGATAATATTGGAATTTAAAACGAATACTAAAATAACTAAAAAACAGCAATGAATATGGAATCGAAAACCTTATAATTCATATTTAATCATTACATTAATCGAATTCATATTACATAGCAAAAATAAATATCAAAATATTTAAATTAATGTGGAAAATATTGGTTTTTAAATGTGTATTATTTGTTTTATTTTATATGCCTTACATTTAAGATAAATATGGTTTCAATTTAAAAACGATTTTCATAATTTAAAACCTATTTAGAAGAAAGTGAAATTTAATATTGAGAAAGGTATAATAATTCCATATTTAAATGAACTGAAAACCGCAAATATTCATTGAATTAAAAAAAGTTTCATATATAATTTAAAACAGCATGATTTAAATTTAAAAACGTTTTTCATAATTTAAAACCTATTCCACCATATCCATTGAATCCAAGCAAATTTCATATATAAATATAAAATTATAATTAATAAACACTGCATATAAATTTAATAATAAAATATTTGAAGGAATGTTGAAAATATCAGAACACAAATAGGTCCATTTCAATAGTAAAATTAAATATTAAAAAAAAGTATCGTTTTCATATTTTTGCTTGAAACAGCAATGGATAAAAAGCAAAGCAAAAATTATTTTTGAAAAGAGTATGGAGTATTTGGATTTACTATACTGGTAAAAACAAACGTACTAAATCCAATTTTGTTGTACTCAATTTAAATATTTTTCGCTTTGATTTTCATCTATTGCTGTTGCCAATGCCTACAATAAATAAGATAAAAATTTATGAAAATTGTAAAATATATCCATTAATATTGATACTAATAAATATAATAAATAAATAATAAATATACAAGTAAATTAAGTATATACATATAATAAGTGGCTGAATATGGTCTGTTAACCTTATATTAGTTTAATATTGTTCATTTGATTATTTACGGGACTGATTTTAATATCTGCAAACTTAGTTAAATAAAATTAATTTGAATCAAATAGGAAGTATGTTAAGTCTAATAATTTTCATATTCATTAAAATATTTTAATATTAAATCATTCAATTTTATATGCAATGTATTAAATACGATTTAATATTTAATTCAGAATTCAATAGTCAGATATTTACATTAACCAATCCATTGTTAATCAGTGTACTTGTTTGTTTATCAGTGTATGCCCCACCACCACCAGGAGCACTCACCAGATTGGCATAGTCCGGAGGCAGCGGCGACGAGCTGCCAGTGCCCGTTCCCGTTCCCGTGGCCACCGGATGCTGGGGCGCCAATGGATACAGGCGGCCATTGGACAAGGACTTGTGCGAGGTCTGCGAGGCGGACATGGCATAGTTGTCGATGGTGGCATTGCTCGACCGCATCATGGACACCGTCTCGTCCTCCTCGGGTATGATCTCCATGATCTCCACCCCGTTGGGGTTCACATAGGTCACATAGGCCTCGTCGGTGGCCAGCATGTAGTTGCTGTGCGTGTCCACCACGGCGGCGGCCACAGCGGCACCCGGACCGGCAGTGGCCAGTTCCGTGGCCGGATTCCTCCAGGAGAGCGTATCCAGGCCGTCCAGCTGGTCCGCCAGTGCCGCCCGCAGCGGCAGTGCCGCAAAGCCCGTCTCCGCCTTGATCACCGAAATCCGCTTCGTGGTGAAGGCGTCCTCGCGGTGCTTGGTGATGATGAGGCCCAACGGGATGAGGTTGACCAGCAGGGCGGACATCAGCACGATCGACTGGGCGGTGCCGTAGAGGGTCCTCAGGCTGGTGAACACGAACGAGAGGAACAGCTGGCAGAAGGCCTCGCCGCACAGGTGGATCGTCTTGCGCACGAACTTGTCCTCCCGCGGACGCACTGCCTCCAGGATCACGTGCGTCTTCCACAGGTACAAGCTGGACCCGATGCCTGCATCCAGAGAAAAACCCCATGGTAAATTTAAACATTAAAATATTTGAATGTTACATTGTTTTTCAAAACATAAACTTACTTAAAATAAACTAAAAACATGAAAATGTAATTATTAACATATTTAACTGGCTTATCGATTTTAAAACTAAATTTGTCCATTATAAATAAAAATGAAAGTTTTATTTAAACACAACACCCCTGAGAACTAAATCAGTACTGAAAATATTTAACTCGATGTGAAAATATTTGAATTTAGCCTGATTTTTATTTGGGTGTAGTTAATGGCTTAAATTAAATCATTTCAGTTCCGCTTTTTAAAATTTAAAACATTAAGAATAGCACTACCCTATTTGAGCGCTTCAGAATATATTTATACCAATATTGAAATCTTTTTCCATATTAAAAAACCATTCTTTCCTACTTCATATTTACATTTTATATAAATAATAATATTAATAATATTATCATAATATTAAAAAAATTTATATTAAATTGCATAAAGTGCCGAAATTTCCTGGTTGTATTTTAGATAAAAATAAAATCATAATATAAAATAAAATGGCTATCAAAACTTGATTGATTGATAAACTTGATTTTTATAAAAATACCAAAAGGATTTTATTTTAAATAGTTAAGAGGCTGAAAATTTAATGAATAATTTTATGTTAAGTACTTATCTTTATAAGATCGAATATAAAATGATCCTGACTTTGTGAATATACTTTTATTATCCATTAAAACAATTTATAGTCTAACTAGAATTCTTCTATTGATAGATGATTTCAAGTTACGAGTTTCTTCAATAATCGAATCCGCGTTTGTTAAAAGTGCAGAGTCATAATGCAGCACATTAGAATGCGAATACGTGATATATTGCGTATACGAACAGTAGCTAACTGGTGTATGCACACAACTGTACATAAATTAAATAAATAATACAGAACTGTACAAATTATATGACTTTTTGCTGTGTTGCCTATGCAACATACATATTTAGTGTGAAATGATATAATCTTCTCTTTTATTATAGGTAAAAATATAATGATAGTTAAAATAAATAAATAAAGGCCAACATTTTCTGCAAGTATCGGTGCTGTGTTGCCTATGCAATCAATAAAAAAAATATAAAGTATAAGAATAAGTAATCTTATGTTTTGATACACAAATACGTGTGTAAGACTCTTTGCGGTGTTACATATATTTTCCCGCCTTTTCGGGCTACAGATTTTGGAATCCGGATTCCAAATGCCTTGACCTCAACTCACCCGCAAAGCATCCGTAGAAGACGATGGCCACCACTTGGGTGGTGGTGGTGACCACGATCCAGGCGGAGGAGAAGAGTATTCCGCTGACCATCAGCGAAACGCAGGCGATGAGGGTGGCCAGCAGGAAGACCCTCCTGTACTCAGTGGTCTCCCTCGACCTGCCGCTGTACTCTGTGTCCAGGTGCTCCATGATGGAGCGGCACAGCTCACCGGTGGCCTGGTAGACAATGGCTGGCCAGATCCTCAGCACCAGATCCTTGTCCGATTCCACCACATTGCCGTACAAATAGGCGGGGGTGGCCAGAAAAGCCTTTTGATTTGTTTTGGCAAAAAAGATGACGTTGACGTTGACGTTGATAAACAGTTCAGCATTACGAAAGAGATTTGCTATTTACGTGTATGGCAAAGCCGCAGAGCATGTACTTCTGTTGGATGTGCTTCTTGACCACCCGGCGTCGTTGGATGCCAGCGGTGGCTCTGGCGGTGGGTCGGCGCACCGTACTGGATGTGGCCACGCCCATGCCCACTCCCACTCCGCCGATTGCAGAGGTAGCCATTCCTGTTTGCTCCTCCCTTGCCCAGATGCTTCCCAGATGCTCCTTCCTTCGAAACTGGACGATTGGCTAACTAACTAGCTGACTAGCTGACTAGTTGACTAGTTGACTAACTGACTAACTGAATAAGTGGCGGTGATCCGTATCTGTTCGCTGGGCAGTGGGAATTTGTGTGTGCGCTATGTCTAGCCGCTGGCATTCATCATTCACCTAACCACCGAAACCTTTTAGATAATGGCGAACAAAAAGACCCACAATAACAACCACACCCACACAAATGGAGCCACGGAGAGTGGGAGAATCCGGAGAATCCGGAGAACCGGAGACCCGGAGAGGCAGACTGATAACATCGGGAATGGAGTGGTGGGAGCTCTTATCACGATATGCCAGATATCTGTGTCCACACACTGCACAAGTGTATCTGCGCAGCTGCGTATCTGGGTATCTGAATATCTGATTATCTGATTATCTGAATATCTGGCTATCCGTGAGATTAACGTCAGATATGCGAAGCGTTTGCAGGCCGTTTGCCTGCAATTCAGTCGGAGAGCAGCGCCGTCGGCAGTGAATTATGTTTATGGCCAACAGCACCGGAGCAGAGAAGCAGATAAATGGGGTGGCCAGTGAGTTGGTGACATTCGGGCTGGATCCAGATCCAGATACAGATACATTTACTGATCTAGATCCAGAAACGGGGTCAGCAACATTGGGGTATGACTACCAATTGGCTGGCGTTGACTTTTTTAAATGTGTTTTGATTTAACCGAAAATGCTGATTACATCTACGGATATCCTGTTTTTACTTTTCACATTAGCTCTTAGCAATAGGGCTGGTTATTGTTGTGAAAACATAGCGCACACTACAGTGCTAATCAGTGGCGTAGATAGCTTTTTGATATGGGGGGGGATATGACTCAGAATAATATCCTGTTACATATTGCGTATACGACCAGTAAACTTCCCGCTGAAAAGGGAACCGTTTTAAAAGCACACAACTTCACATAAGTTACATAAATTAAAGGACACTTAAGCTTTAATTCACATAACTGTACAAAGCTTTTAAATGATTGCTTTTTGATTTAACCGAAAATGCTGATTACATCCACAGGAATTCTCTTTTTCACTTTTCACCTTAGCACTTAGCAATAATGCTGATTATTGTTGTGAAAATATATGCCTACACTAAGAGCTATTAACTTCTTAAAACTTTTAATGCTTTGCTACTGCAAATGACCAACATATATACCCAACATTAAAAACATAGTGCAATGCACCCTTTTAAAACCTTGGAACTTATTGGTTTTTCTCTAATAAACACCATTTATATTTGTGACTTTAATTTTGGTTTATTTTAATGAACATATTTATGGGTAAAATTTTTCCATATCTGGCAGAAATTTTTTTGGGCATATTTTTAAAAAGGATAACTTTATACTCTATTCAATTTTTTTCTAATTTGTAATTCTAATTGTTTGTAAATTTGTTTGCCATTTTATTCAGGCATTATATTTCCTTCTACATATTTGATAGAACTTGACGAGTTGATATGCGATATGAGTACTATTTCACAATCCAACTGTTTTTGGCTATGGAATGATTACCGAAAACAGGGTTCGTTGTTTTTTTAGACTTGGCAGGAAAAAGATCAAACCTACTCATTTGAGCGTTAAATATAATATTAAAACAAGTTATGTTTACTTAAAATTGGTTTTGTAAAGCCTACTCCATTTCTATTTTATTGGAAAAACTATTTTTTAGTTAACATCGCAGTCCAAAAATGTAGATATTTAAAATAGAACAATGATATCCAAATATGGAAATAAATTATCGGCATTGCGTTGTTTATCTTTAAGTTTGCTGGAGTGCTAGCTTAAAGTGTGAAAATATATATATACAAATATGCATTTGTCAAAATAACATTCCTTATTGTTATTCAGACTTAATAAATAAAAAACATTATTCAAAACAGTATTTGCAAAAAATGTTTCCATTGGAATGTATAATACAATGTATTTCTTTATAGTTTATAAGTTGAAATAGTCCTGTGAGGTGAAAGACTTTCCAATGCGACAAGAGTTGAGTTGGGAAGTGAACAGATATCGGACATACGGATGAACCCACGGTTTCGGGTTATGAATGCGTCATAGCCTTTGTTTTGACTCCATTTCTGGAATGATGGGCAGCAAAAACAGAAGCACTCTAAGACGAAAGCCGGGCAAACAGATTTATCTGGAAACTGCCATTCCGCCGCCCACTTGACCTCCCCCGTGGATTTACCCGACTTATCTTTACACACTTCCGTTTCACATCCGCGGAGAATGGTCCGTAACCGTAACCGTAGCCCCGCACTTTACGGGTTTACAACTGTATTTTGCAACCCAAAAACTGAAAACCCCGTGTGACGACGTCAGAGCGGTGAAAAAACAGGCGCACATTTTATTTGCACCATATACGAGAACGTCTGTCTATCTGCTGGCATCTATTATATCTATCAGATACTGCGATACTGAGATACTGCGATACTGCGATACTGAGATACTGAGATACTGAGTAGGTAAGTAAGTGGGGAGGTGCTAAGCCCGATAAGGCATCTTGACACCAGCATCCCGGCCAGATCGGGCTATATAATCGGCCGTATTCTCGGCCAGCAGCTCACACAACGATCGACCGACGTTAGCCACTGGCGACGATGACACGACTTTCATCACTACACCAATTAACCAACGAGTCCAGAGGCAATCCAATCGAAACCACCTTCACAGTGCGAAAGATGACGGGCCACAGGATCTCCGGGCTCTCCACCATCCTGCTGCTCTGCGCCGCCGTGGTAAGTAGCACCTCCTGCCACGAGGATCCGGGGCGTGTATACCACCTGACCCATTGATAACTTGCAGCTGCTGACCAAGTCCTGCGGCATCCTGGCGCTCAGCGGCGAAGGTTCCTCCGCTCAGGAGCAGCAGCTGGCCGCCCAGGCGGAGCCATGGAGCGATGCCACCACCACCACCATTCAGCCGGGTGAGGAGGGTTCCGGTTGGGACACCACCTTGCCCACTGAGCTCACCACTGAGGCGAATGAGGAAACCACATTGGAGGCTCAGGAGGGCACCACAGTCGGTTCTGGCGAGGGGGAGATCAGCACTGCTGCTCCGGAAACCTCACCAGCTGGCCAGGATGACTCCTCCCCAGCAGCTGAGACTACAGTCGCCCCCGAGGAGACCTCCTCCGCTGCCGAGGACACTTCACCGGCTCCAGAGGAAACAACCACAGCCGAGGCAGATGCAGAGGCTTCATCCAGTTCCTCCACTGCTGGTCTTCCCGAGAGTTCGCCCAGTTCATCCTCTACAGTCGCTCCAGAGAGCTCTAGTTCCTCCACCGCAGCTCAGCCAGAGAGTTCCTCCAGTTCATCCTCCACCGCAGAGCCAGAGAGCTCCTCCAGTTCCTCCTCCACCGCAGAGCCAGAGAGCTCCTCCAGTTCCTCCTCCAGTGCCGCTCCTGGCGAGGCCACCATTGCACCCACTCCGCCCACTTTCCAATGCCAGGCGGCGGGACTTTTCCCGCACATTAGTGGCGACTGCAGGCGCTACCACAAGTGCCTGCTGAATCCGGTGCTGCGGCAGCTGCAGGAGATCGAGGTCACCTGTCCGCCTCTGACCGCCTTCTCATCGAGCCTGGGCAGATGCGTGCGGGACGTGGCCGAGTGCCAGGAGGACAGCTTCCAGTGCCTGGCTGTGGGCCGATTTGCCGGACACGATGACACCTTCTACTACAGCTGCGTGGCCAGTTTGCAGGGCGGATTCCACAAGTTCATTGTGCGCTGCTCCAGCGGCCAGAGATTTGAGGCCGTGATCGGTGGATGCTGGCGCTATGACTGGACGCAGATTGTGCCGGGCCAGGAGGCCACGGAGGTTAGCGATCTGGCGGCCATCAAGCGGGAGCTAAAGCTGTACAAGGCCGAGGAGAAGCTGCGCCTCAAGGCCACCAAGGAGCAGGAGAAGCTGGCCAAGAAGCAGCAGAAGCTGGAGGAGAAGGCCGCCAAGAAGGCGGCCAAGGAGCAGGCCAAGCAGCAGGCGAAGGCCGAGAAGGACAAGGCCAAGGGCGAGTCCATCGAGAGTGCCGAATCCTCAGAATAGCCGAGATAATCTCAATCTCAACGGGGAGCCCCGCCCCCCCATCTATGTTGGTCCATTGCTCTAGTCTAGGGAATTTATATTTCTGCATTTTTTTTTTTTGTTAACTGTTTTTTTTTTGCCTACTGGTGTAAATAAAGAATATAAAAAAATATTGGAAATGGAATTTATTTATTTTATATAGACGAACAACAGAATTTATAAGACAGATATCCGATTTTGAAAGGACATAACTCCAAAGGTTTGCAGTTACATTTTTTTTTTTAATTTGATTTCTATTTCCTTCTAGAACCATAACTTCAACCATAACTTGTCTCGCAGAAATCCAATTTCGAAAAGGCATACCTTTAAGGTTCTTTTTGGGCGGACTTAATGCAAATAAAATTTAAAAAAAACTCACCTTGCAAAAATGTGATCCAAAACCAGCACTTTAAGGTCCATAAGTTTTCTTACAGATTGGCATTAATCTAAAGGTTTACCAACCATGTGCGTTTAAATGTTGGCTTGATATTTCTAAGTCTATAACTCTTCTCGCAGAATTCCCATTTAAAAAAGACATATCTTTTAAGGTTTGTGGTTTAGTTTTGTTTTCTAAGAATCTGCGGTAAAATTATGTTTTATTGTCGATTTATTGTATAGATTTTCTGGGCAAATGAATCAAATTTAAATTTTCAAAAATGGTTTTGCAGAAACATGACCCAAAACCAGCACTTTAATTTTTTTTTGACTTAAGATATATCCATAAGATATCTCACAGAAATCCGTTTTTCAATAGGTAAACCTCTTAAGATTTGTGTTGTGATTCAATTTCCTAGGAACCTGCGTTTGTGTCAATTTTTTGGCCGACTAATGAAATTTAACTTAAAATAGTTTAAAGAAATTTTTAAAAAGAAATCATTAAATTTTAATTTATTTATTTGGTAATGGCTTAGACGAAATAACGAAGTCTTAAAACTGTTTCTTACTAATGAAATATATTTTTTAAGAAAGGTATTCTACTCTTTTTTAAAAATTTAAAGGCTTTTCACGAGACTATTGCATTTGCTAGTGACATTTAAATTACCTTTTAACTTTTATTGGTTTATGGTATGTAGAAAAGATTGGGCAGCTTGAGCAGGTGTGAAATCTTTTCAAAGAAAAATGTTAGTCCTGATAAGCTTTTAGATTTTTCTACTAGTTTCACCATTAATTACTATACTAAGAGAATTTATCTTTACTAAGTAAATTAGGTGCTGAAATGAACTGCCTTGCTTTTTATTTTGGATCTTGCAATATAAATAATAATAAACAATATTGAAAGATAGGGTGTCTATCTTAGCTTATTTAAATGTAATATAGTTTTGAAATATTACTCAACATATAGATAATCCACAAAGAATTTTTATTAGGGAAAGCCTAATGTTAGTAAACTTAGAATTAAATGTAATGTTTTTTGAAGTAAACGAAAAATAATGGTTTATCCCAAAAATGTAAAAGTTCCTTAGAGATATCTAAATAATTGATTTATGAAGTAAAACGAAGTAGACAGGTGTAAATAAAAAAGGGGACTTAATAAATGCACAATAGCAACTCAGCATAACATTTCTTCCTAATTCTGGCAAGGGCTTAGGTCATTTTGAGGTTTTCCAAAAATCGTTTTTTTCTTTATCTAAATGTTTTTCTATAGTCTCAAATCCATGCAATACAATAAAATTAAAAATCCCTATGATCGGCCATTGATAATTCATTTTTATTTACTACAAAAACGTTATTGCTACCAGTTTTACCTTCCCTGCGAGAACGGCAATATTGATAAAAATCTGAAAAAAGGGATTTTTAAACTTCAGTTGGGGACTAGATGACACCCAGAAGTGGGAATTTCCAGAACGCAAGATAAACGTTAATTGAAGGCCCTGGAGATATGACATTTATATTGATCGCCTATCTGAAGCTCGGTCTAACTTTTCGCCCACTATTATCTACAGTGGTCCGAATTTCGTCTTTATCAGCTAATCGCACGCAATCTGTAAGATTGCGACCGGCACCTTTTTGGGCCTGGCTATAAAAGCGAAGTTTCGATTGTCCGGCCAGTTAGTCCGTCGAACCAAGTACCGAGAGGTAAAGCGAAAAATCAAAACCCCCAACAAGAGAGAGATGTTCAAACTATCGATGCTCCTGGGCCTGGCCCTCATCCTGGCACCATCGGTGATCCAGGCCAAGTCCCTGTGCCGCCGGAGCGGCTACTTCGCCATAGTGGACAACACGCCGGACTTCTATGCCTGCCAGGCCACCGGTTTCGGTGGTTTCTCCATGCGCTTCCTGCGCTGCCCCGCCGGTCTGGTCTTCAGTTCCGCGTCGGCCCAGTGCATCGCCAGCCCGATTTCCACATTTGAGGCCCGCGACGATAGCAACATCGAGAGCCCCACCATTCCACCCACCACTGAGGCTCCTGCAACCACGGAGAAAACAGCAACCAAACAACCCGTAAACAGTGAAACCGCAACCAATGAACCCGATACAAATGAACCCGTCACTGGTGACAGCTCAAGCGATGTGCCAGATACCGACACCACCGACGTTACCAACACCAACGACTCCACCGACGTTACCAACACCAACGACTCCACCGACGTTACCAACACCACCGACTCCACCGACGTGACCAACACCACCGACTCCACCGACGTTACCAACACCAACGACTCCACCGACGTGACCAACACCACCGACTCCACCGACTCCACCGACGTTACCAACACCAACGACTCCACCGACGTTACCAACACCACCGACTCCACCGACGTTACCAACACCACCGACTCCACCGACGTTACCAACACCAACGACTCCACCGACGTGACCAACACCACCGACTCCACCGACGTGACCACCACCACCGACAATGATTCGGGAAGCACTGTGGAAAGTTATCCTTGCCCCACCACTGGATTCTATCCGTCAAGCAACAGCTGCTCCAGCTTCATCCTCTGCTTTCACAACGATGAGAATAAGCTGCAGTCACATGTCCTTCAGTGTCCTGGAGGCATGGAATTCGATCCGTTCAATAGCTTCTGTTCAGTCAATTACAATTGCAATGCCTAAGCATAAGGATGTCCATGGCAGGCGAGGATCAAGTGGCTAGAAAGGAATGGGAAGCAATAAAACCGGTCACTGCGTTTACACCACCTGCCACTTTTATTTACTTCATAGTTTCCGCTTTTTTTTTGTATTTGTGATTACTTTTTTTTTATGGTGTTCTGAAGTGAATAAATTCTAGTTTAATTATTATTATTAATTTATTGGAAATCATATCTGGGCATCGTGATTGAATGTCAAGTGGTTCCGTATGACGGCAATTTCAATTTCAATTTCAATTTCATACGCATTATCCATCAAGGCGATAAGAAGGGAGTCCTACTATCTAATCGCCTGTCACTAAAAGATCGCTTGACCGGTTCTCAAGTGACAAATCGGTCTCGCAAAGATGTCACCAAGGAACATTTCCTGATCGCGAATCAATTTTTTTAGGCCGGAGTAGAAAATGATTAAAGAAAAATCAATGGAAAATTGTTTGAATTATTTTTTAAAGGGTAACTTTTTTTGGTTATCATTCAGCGAACCTTGGAAATATTATCTAATCTTTTCTGAAAGATATTTTCTACTTTCATTCATCTTTCATTGCAGTCTCATTTCTCTGGCTGGTCTTGATGATTTACCTTGGAGACTTACCATTGAGTTCCTGGTGACGAATCTTATCTCTTTTCTTAAAATTAAGTTAAATAACTTTGTTAAGCAATTAGTACGCAAGCCATTTAATATCAAAACCCATGCAGAAGATATAAAATTACATGCCTTTAACAGCTCCTGGAAAAATATCTTATCTTCATTTTATTGATTGCTTTAGACCTGTTATTAAATAAAATTGTCATTGATCGATGGAATTTTAAAAAGTCTCCTATTGTTTCCCTATTTTAATTTTTCAGTGCCTATTTTTATACCCTTGCAGAGGGTATTATAATTTCAATCAGAAGTTTGCAACGCAGTGAAGGAGACATCTCCGACCCTATAAAGTATATATATTCTTGATCAGGATCACTAGGCGAGTCGATCTAGCCATGTCCGTCTGTCCGTCCGTCTGTTCGTCTGTCAGTCTGTTCGTCTGTCCGTCTGTTTCTACGCAAACTAGTCTCCGTTTTAAAACTATCTGCATGAAACTTTCCCAAAATTTGTCTTTCTATTGCAGGTAGTATATAAGTCGGAACGAGCCGGATCGGACGACTATAGCATATAGCTCCCATAGGAACAATCGAAAAAAATCGAAGGACAGACGGACAGATGGACAGACGGACAGACGGACATGGCTAGATCGACTCGCCTAGTGATGCTGATCAAGAATATATATACTTTATAGGGTCGGAGATGTCTCCTTCCTGAAATTATAATATTCTCTGCAAGGGTATAAAAATTATAACTTTGGTGTTTTTTAATTTTTTTTAGTTCTTCAAGATATAGTAATGGTTAAATATTTCAGAATTACGGTTTAAATTTCATCAAAATCGGATGACTGAAGCATATAGCTCCCATAGGAACAGCTGCCATAGGAACTAACGACTAATTAAGCTGCAAATCATCATAGCTTCAATGATTTTAAACCTACACGCCAGTAAATCATAATTTTAACGTTTTCAAGAGTATTTAGTTGTTGAAATAGCTGCAAGGGTATATGAACTTCGGCTTGCCGAAGTTTGCTTCCTTTCTTGTTTATATGAATATCGTTTTTCTATTTCACTTATTATTATATTTAACCTTAGTATTATTGAAGAAGATAAGCTTCTGTGATATGTAATCGAAAACAAAAGTGTCGTAAATGGGAAGCAACCGAAAATTATTAGGCAGGTATTTTTTTAATCAACCAAGAATTCCCCGAATATTATCTTATCTTTTTCAAATGAAAATAAATAATTACTACTTATTTTCCCTTTAACTGAGTCATTAAAAAAATATAACAATTTACAAACTTGAGCGCGTATACTTAATTATTGGTACTATTTTCTTTAATAAATCTTATTGTTGTTGATTTATTTGGGCTTATTATTATTATTACCAGTGTAACCCACAAAGAAATATTTTTGGAAGTTTTTTTAAAGAAAGTACTTAATAGAATGGTTGCACATAACATGGTAGGCTTTCAACTTTATTTTAGGATTTTGTTTTATAAAAATATTGACTTTGGGCTGTCTGCCGAGGCTCAAAAAAACAAAGTTCCCAAACTGCTGACGTCATTATGGTCTAAAGAGTGACTTAAATCGAACAATTAAATAAGATTATGAAAGCAAAATATATATCCTCTACAATAACCTACGATCTTAAGAAAATATCAAATATCAACAACATTTCGATGTTTTTTTTGTGTTACATTTTTTTTTAATTCTGCCATTGTTTTTGATATAAAAATATATAATGTTTTAATTTGTACTATTTTCTCTAATATCCCTTATTGCTCGTCATTATTTTTTTTTTTAAATTAGACATTTAGAAAATTATTTTTTGTTCTTAGTTGCTTTAATAATTTATATTTTATTTTTTCCTTTGGTTTCCATGAGTGTGCTGAACTAGGTTATATTCTTGGGCTTATATCGGTGATATTGTTTACACCTTAACTATTGAATACCTCCTCAAATATAAACCATCTTTCGGTTGCCTTTTTCCCGCCGTGCAATCCACATTCAATCACGTGCCATTGATTTCACGGCGATAATGAAGGAAAATAGCCGAGTAATCTGGTGGTTCCGTGTCTTTTTCGCAGTGGATCAGTGGTCGATGGTTAGTGTTCAGTGGTCAGTGATCAGTGGGTGGCTAATAAACTTCCGCATGGGGGAGCACGGATTCAATTTAGGGGAATCTGCAATGAATGCGATAAATGCGCTGCTTAAATCCAATCGCACGGCGGCCACAACCCGATGAATTCCCAAATGAGTGAAAGTCTCTCACCGGGCGCAAAATGGGGCTCGGTCTGTTGATTCGCTCGTCCAAAACGTCCGCCGGTCCGCCGAGAAGTTGCATAAAAAAGCGACGGACTCGGAGCATCGACGACACCGCTTGGTTGGACAATTGCGCATGCGCGTAGCTCGTTAAAATGCCTTTTTTCAGCGGCAGCGGCGGCGACAATTGAAGCAGGTCAAACTCCGGCTGAAATTCGCAGTTTGGAGGCAGTCCAATCACGTACAGCCCAGCCCCTCCACTCACCCCACCATCCCCATCCCCATCCCCAGCCTCATCCTAATCCCAAAGCCCAAAGACCCAACCCTGGATACGTGCATAGTGTCATTTGGCACACAAGTTGTTGCCATTTGGCCCTAAACGGTCATAGGCAAGTGGATCGTTAAAAGAGTTGGCAAACACAGTAAGAAAACGTGGTGATCTACATCACATGAAGGGGTTTTAATTCAAAATATTGACTACCTTTACTTCAGATAACACAAATATTCCTCAAGAGTTTTCGAAATTTTATACAAATAATAAGTGAACTCCATAGTTAAAATAAAACAAACATTCCTCAAAAGGTCTCGATTTGCTGTATTGAATAGCATTTGGCATCAAAAATCAGATTTGCTATATAATTTTTCGCACGCTTCAAGGCAAGCCTAGAATAAATGTGTTTGGTAACCTTAAATAAAAGTTGAATATACTAATTCTAGTGTGATATTAAAATGTTATGCCGCCCAGAATTGATAAGATAAACAAAATATAGTCTGATCATAGATCATAGCAATAGAAAATAACAAAACGAATACTTGAATGTGAATTGAATAAAAATAAACTTTAAGAAGTGCATGTCTGAGTACCCTTTTTTGTCAAAGCTCGATAATAAAGGGAAATTAAAAATGCCAATTACAAAAATGTTACCTGATCAGAACTCATTAAAATGACAAATTAATTTATCCAAACAATCACTTTGATTTTAAATTGTTTAGGTAAGAAATTCAGAAGGGAAGTAATTGATATTTGACCTTTTTGCCAGGTCTATACAATTACTGATACTGGCTAAAATTTAATTTCTTGAGAACTATTATTGGTTATTTATCGAAAATAATAAATGCTTTTGAAAAATGTTTCAAAAAAATAGTAAGGAACTGAAAATTAAAGCACAAACTTTTAGGAGATATACCAAATCGATTTTCAAACCGTACAGTTATGGTGCCAATACTGCAGGTTGGGTTTACCTTTTCGGGAAGCTCAAAAATAAAGGCAAATAATACCTGGTAAATATGGGAGTTCGCAGGCCTTTTCTTCTTTGTCGTTTTGCACAATTAGCTAAGGATTGTCATGTTATGTTTAAATATTGACTTGCTGCACTTTTTCTTTTTCGCAGTGTAGATAGCATGGCCGATATCGGGGTCAGTCTTACCCATCCTGCATCTCGAGCAGAAACAGTGGATCGCTCTTGTTGTTGACCACTTTCATTTGTGCAAACTCGAGGAACAATCGACGCACCGACGACAAACATTTGCGTGCGAACATTTCTGTTTTTTGTGATTTTGTGATTTTGGCTTTTGGGTGGGGACACCCGTCACTCTTCTTTTTTTCTTAAGGGGGCGGGGTGGAGTGTGGAAATGCCCAGATAAATGGGCAGATACAATTGTATCTTTATTTGAATGCTAACCCAGACTCGTACTTGTTATGTCATTTGCACATTTACACGTTGTCGCCAGCCCGCGTTTTGAGTTTTATTATTTCTTTTATCTCATTTGGGCCGAGTCGGTGCCAGTCAAGATCAACATTTAAATGTTGTACAATTACTCGAGCCATCATCGCATAGTTGCGATGCTTCTCTGGACCGCAGTGGTATGGCGATTAGTTGGGATCGGATGGAAACGAGCCACGGCCCATTAAGATTATGTGTGGCAGCAGCTTCCTAGTAAAAGCCAAGCCAAAATCGAGCTGCAGTTAAGTAACTCTTAGCGCCGTAATCATGATTTGGAAACTAAGAAAATTGTCAACTCTCAAATAAAAAGTGAGCAATGTAACGGGCTGTGGATATAGGTAGTCTGGCCAATCCATCGATCTGCTAATGTCGCAATACTCTTCGTAATCGAGGTAACCTGCGGATGAGTCTGCATATCCAGAAAGGGAATTCGGACATTTGGGGAGTTCGAGTCCCTGATTACGAATATTACACT